AGGAGCAGCACGAGAGGAGTCAGAGGCTAACAATTTCAGAAACCCCCAGAACAAAGATTCTCAAGGGGCCACCAAGGAACACAAACAATGGTGAGATAGAACCAAGGCAGCATGTAAAAAAGTCAGTCAACGCAGCAAGACATAAAGTATATAAAACATAGATCAGAGGTCAGAGCAGCCGTTTCCCTGCAAAGATCCAAGACTGGTAAGGAAGGCAACAGTAAACATCAGGCAGTGCAAAGCCAAGCACTTGAGTCACCACCCACACCCAGAAGAGTGTGTCACGTAGTGTAAGCCAAATCCAGGAAGTAGCCACCCATACCCATACCCAGCAGCAGGCATTGGGCAGTGTAAACCAAAACCAAGTGAGTCACTGCTCCACATCCAGCAGGATGCACTGGAAACAAAGCCTTGAAGCAGCCACCCAGTCAGCAGAATGCACTGGAAAGTATACACTAGTCACAGGGTGCCTGGTGTGTGTGGGGGTGGGGGGTTAAAAGCTTTAGGCAATGTAATCCAAAGCCCCAAAATGTCACCACTGCATGCGAAGCAGCATGCACATATCAACACATCCATTTTGCGGAGAATGTGAAGTAACTGACAGAATACAAAAATTTAAAATCAGAATAAAAACAGTCTTGGGTGTGAAGTGAAAACTTCCGGCTTCTTTGGAAAGCCATTTGTCTCAGATGGTGTTTTGCTGGGGCAAACACGTGAAGGAGTGTTTCCCTGAAGCCGACGCAAGTGAAAGGATGTTTGTGAAAGGACATGATGAGGGATTCTTCCCCAATGATACACGTGTATTGGTCCTCCTTACTAACATTGGGTAGCTGAGCTCCATTTGTCATGACTCCACAGAGAGAAAGGCATGAAAACACTTCTGGTGGTGTGCTGGCAGCTTCTTGCTGCTTCCTCAGACTCTGGCAGATTGGCAGAGTGATGTCAGCTGATACAGACTCACTTGCTGACGCAAGACTCATGGTGAGGCAAGACCCATGGAGGTCACATGATGTTTGGAGGGAGTATAAACAGAACTGAACAGACTGAGAGGGGCTTGCTGGCATACCTAGCTCTGCAACACTGCTCATGGTCTCAAGTCTTGGCTGATCTTCCCTTCATTGAGAGAACCTTGGCAAAGAACTTCTGGCATCCCTGCTGGCCCTAATCCTTCCTGCTGACTCTTGCTGATTTGGCTGAGGTCTGGCTGTCTCTGCTAGGTCTTGCTACTGCTGCTGATTTGTGTTTGAGATTCTGACTCTACTGAACTGGACTGCTGGTATATTTGTGAAGCATTTGCGAGTGGATCAAGCTGCTGCTCCTGGATCCTGTGAACTGAACTGCTGATTTCCTGAAAACACAGATGAGATTTGCTCCAAAGAATAATTTCTAGCTGGGCAGTGGTGGCGCACGCCTTTAATCCCAGCACTTGGGAGGCAGAGGCAGGCAGATTTCTGAGTTTGAGGCCAGCCTGGTCTACAGAGTGAGCTCCAGGACAGCCAGGACTACACAGAGAAACCCTGTCTCGAAAAACCAAAAAAACAAACAAACAAACAACAATAACAAAAAAAGCAGGTCCACTTCTTCCATATCCTAATAATCTTTCTTTTCCTCTACCATTAGTGGGTGGTGGGCTAGAAGGGAGATTAAAGCATTTAAGAACCCTTATTAAAAGCAGGACTGAGAAAAGTTAAAGCTACAAAGGTGTCTTAGTCTCCTGAATTCTACATTCCTCACAGTACCTGGCCTACATGGATGACTGACTCTCACTGCTGGGCACACTAGGAAGCATGTGTGGAGGTCTCCTTAATCCTAGAACCTTTTTCTTGCAAAACAGATCACCATGTTTCAGATGTAACAGCAATATTAACATTGAAACATTTAAACTTTTATGCATATACATTTGTTTTTTAAAGTGGGTGTCTACATACATGTAAGCAGTTACCTTCAGAGACCAGAAGGCATAGAATCCCCTGGACCTGGAGTTACATGTGGCGAAGTGCCACCCAATGTAGGTTCAGGGAAACAAACTCAGGTCTTCTGGAAGAACAAGTGCTCTTAACTGCTGAGGCATTTAGTAAAAGTAAGTTGACTGTAGCTCATATATCAAAAGATGAAAAGCTAACATCCACAAATAACAAAAAACACATGTTTCACCTTTTTTTTTGGGGGGGGGTCTCTGTACCTCAGCTGGGATGATTTTTTTAAGCTCCATCCATTTCCTTGCAAATTTCATAATTTTGTTGTTCTTAACAGGTGAATAATATTCCATTGGGTAAATGTACCGTATTTTGATTATCCATTAATCAGTTGATGAACATCTAGGCTGTTCCCAATTTTTAGGTATTACCAACGGGGCAGCAATGAACATGAATGAACAATCTCTATAGTAGGATGTAGAACCATTTGGGTATATGCTCAACTGTAATATAGCTGGATCTTGTGAGATGTGTTTTCAGTTTCCTGAGGAACAGCCACACTAATTTCCACAATGGCTGTACAAGGTTGCACTCTGATCTGCAATGGAGTGTGCCCATTACTCCACATCCAGCAGGAGTTGTCATTTGTTTTACTGATCTTGGCCATTCTGACAGGCGTAAGATGAAATCTCTAAGCAGTTTTAATTTAAATTTCTCTGATGACTAAGAATGTTAGACTCTTCTTTAACTGTTTTCAGCTATTTGTGTTCCATATTTTAAGAACACTCTGCTTAGTTCTGTATCCCATTTTTGTCTGGGATGTTTTCTTCATGTTCAGTTTTCTTAGTTCTTTACATACTCTGGTTACTAACCTTCCATGAGGTATATAATTAGTAAAGGCTTTTTTCCCACTCTGCAGGCTGTGTGCTGCTTTATCCAAAAGGACTGGAGGGAGATCATCTCTCAAGGGAGGGAAATTGAATATGATAAAGAGAAAAACTAGAATAGGAGGATTAAATAGGGAGAGGAGTGGGAGAGAAAAGTAGAGGAGGAAAAACTAACACCAAAGGCACTTTTAAAAATCATATGTAAATCTACTAATGCAAAAGCTTTCTAAATATATATATGCATACAAAAGTTAACTGTAGTTGACTTCCATATAATGGGGAGACGACCCAACTAGAAATCTTGTATTATCAAGGAAAACTTCCAGTGCCAGGAATGGGTTACATCTTGGTGAGTACTTGGCCAAAGAGGTCCCATGACTCTCACAAACATCACAAGCTATTGCCAAGGCAGCTAGTTGTTCTTCACAACCTTGATGGTAAGGCCCCATTGATAAATACACTTATATCACTGAACACAGAGAAATGAGTTGGAAGCTTCACCCTACTGACTACTAGCATAAATGATTCTGGAAGGTACTGTGCATACCACCAGAGAAGAAAGATAATCATCTTTATCACACATGATATAATGGTGCTATAGTGGTACAAATGCTATGGGAATAACCAACCATCTTTTGGCTGGATTTAAAGTATGATATGGAATCCATGCATGACACTGCTAAAGTGGCCAAGGACCCAACATGGGCCAAGGAGAAAACTTACAATTCTGCTATGGGAATATAGCAAAAAAAAAAAAAATGACTGCTAAAGACATACTGCTAAACCATTTTCACTACGTCACTATTCAATTCTATAAACGCATTCATCAGCCATCCTGCTTTTAAATATTATTCTTGGCACTCAGTTAGGATTGCTGAAGTTCACTTTATTTTGTACTTTACATTTTCAAATAAAAGCTTAATGTTATAAAGTATTTACAAAACTCTTAAGAAATATTTTTATCAACAAGAATTTTATACAATTTTATATAAAAGGAACAATCAAATTTCCCTTAAAAGTCCAATGAGAGAAAAAAATATACCTTCTGTACTGCTTTAAAGTCTAATGCAAACATTTCTTGAGCCATCAATGACTTCTGATAACCTAAATATGTAAGCACTGGTGCTAGGACACTATAAGAAGACACCATATTTCCCATGTCTCTCATTACATAGTTATCAACCTGTGAGCTCCTCCCTAAGTGCCTGAGAGTGATCTGGCATAAACCAGACCTGTCAGTAGGAGGTCACAGTGATATCTGCATTAAAACTTATACTTCTCTCTTTCCAAAGAGAGAGGGAATGTTGAATAATTCCATTCATTCCAAATCTTCGGCATAAAAGGCTCGGAATGTAATAAAATTTGGATGTTCTCCAACAGATAAGCAACAGCATTAACTAGGTTGTATTTCAAAAACAGTGTCTAGAGATTTTCATATATATTATCAAACCCTCTGTAGCCACAAGCTTAACAATTTGTATTAGTTGACATTAAACACAATGTGTCGCATGAATCCATCTACATTTTTACATTTTTTTTTGTCTTTGACTGTGTTTGCTTCTGTTTTTTTTTTTTTTTTTTTAATGCCCAAGAGAAAACACCTGTATCACACATTGTTACTTGATGTAATGAAGAAAAAGAAAAGAAATAACTAACTTCTCTGGTCAGTTAAAGGCCTTGTCTTTATCAGGGATATTTTAAAAAGTTAATCTTACCAGCCCAATCTTTATGTAATACCTCTAGTAAGAAGACTAATAGCAAGAAAAATAAGCCTAACAATTCCAATCCATTCTTAATATTTAACTGAAATGTTTTGACCAAGGAATAACACTACCTATGTAAACTGTACCATCCATAAGCAAGTACACAGGAAAATTTGCTTTTAAAATCTAATCTTAGTATTTCTTACAAAGGTAACAATGGTCCAACTCAATTCATGAGAGTGTTCAGAATGAAGGTAAAGGCAACGTCTAGGGATTAGCATTCAACAGTCTTGGAAACCTCAGACCACAAATACACTCAAGTTAGTCGATAAATTAAACAAGATATTGCTGATGTTCCTTTTTGTCTATTAAAATGAACAATATTGTAGGCTTCACCCATCAAGGGAAAAGCAGAGCATTTAAAAACTTTAGCTATAATTTTGAAATCATCTGACATCTAACTTTCGGGAACCAGATATCTTAACTATGTCTTCCTTCTTTCTTCAATACAACCAACCACCTCACAAAAATAAGAGAACTAAAACAATCCAATTACGATTATTTTTAAAAGTCCGAAGCATTGGAGGGTACCCAGTGGCTTCTTGTTTACTTGGCTACAAGCAAAAACAAAAAGCCAACCCTGTAATTTGGTCAATAGTCAGGTCTTCTGTGTATGTGTGTCTATGGAGTCTTCTCTGAAGCACATCACACTGAAGGTTCTGTGTTCTTGTGGTAGCTGTTCTTCTTGTCTCAGTAATCACAAAGCCAACTTCCTGGAGAATCTGTCCCTCACTGATGATCTGGTCATGATGTCAAAAGTGCAACTAACAGTTTAGTTACTATTATTGGTCTTCAGTAAATTGCAAGTCATGCTATGTCATAATGTAAATTCTTCTCACTATGCTAATGATCCTCTCAGCAGCATATTACATCCAGAGGTATATCATTAAAAGTCAAGTCCTGTTAGTTTGCCAACTTCCCGAATATCCTTGTTGCATTTGTCTTTATAGATGTCTGCAAGACAAACTGGTTCAACTTCTTCAACTGTCTAATCCTGTGTGATGTCAAATCCTCAACCTTATCTGGCTACCTTTCCTTTCCCACCTGCTGAGGCCCTCCTCCATCACCAGTGCAGTCAGTCATCCCTGAGCTCTCTACCCTACTTGCCAAAGTCTTTGCTGGGGAAAGGGTACTGAGGGGGTAACATAGGTTACAGAAGTATTATAGAAGAAGCCTAGTATTGCCCTGAGGCTCAGAAGATTCTTCTACCATGGTGCTGGTGCCATGGCTTCTAGCATTTTTAGACAAAGGACATGAACTTGTTGTTATTGCCTAGGCATGGTTGCATATTATGTCATTTTTTTAACAAGATCCTTTTTCTCTTTCATATCATTTATACAGGACCAGGGCACTCCTATAACTCTTGAGTTCTCTGCTTACTTTTCAATAATCAATGCAGAAAATGGCCTGTTCCTCTGCCAGCAACCTACAAAGGGAAAACAGAGGCAACTGGGCTCATGCATTCACTGAGCAACACTTCACTGTAGCATGAGATACGTCAATCATTTCTAGGTGGCAACTCGCTCCTAACCCAGGCTTTCCTCAATTCACTTCCACTTTGGTAGGGTTTTGGGTTTTTTGTTTTGTTTTTGTTTATTCTTAATGTCTGCTCTGTCCCTGACTGTGCATGGTACACAGTGACACGCAAACGAGGAGTCTTCTCGGATCTGAATGCCTTTTGTAGAAGGAGGCTGCTGCCTTTAGAGTAGGGCTAAAATGTAAGTTATAGCTCAGATTTAAGAGTTGAGCTGAGCCCAAGTGCAATGGAGTACGCAGATACTTCTTATCAGTGCTATATATTCTGTGTATTTATTACAACTGTACAACAGATGGCAGTGAAATACTTTGATGAAGTGATTCTTTTCACCATTTGAAGAAAGGTCCTGTGTGGGCTAATGATATCCCTGCTGAAAGGCCAAAGAGAAATCTGCTCCAGGAGAATTTCATAACAAATAATAAATAATGGGTAAGTCATGGCCAAGGAATATAAGAGTTGCCCATGCCACAGTTTCCATAAGCTTTGCCAGGTCTTCTGGGGAAGAGTAGTGAGGTGCTTGCCAGTCTTTTGCTCACATGATTTTTAGCACTCTCCATCTCTGCCAGTTGGTTAAAGGCACACTGTGTATGGTAGAACACCAGTGCTGTATGTACTGGTCTCCATCTTTGGGTACCAACAGACCTGGCTGTGGGCCTTACAGACTCAGGCCTCCAGGCTTAGTCTGATGGAAAAAAAAAAAAAGCAAGGAAGATATACATACATTTCACTTTCATGAGTCTTTCTCTATTTCTACACACCCAGAGATGGTGGTTTTGTCATGAATTCAGAAATTGTCCCAGAGTTCGCATTGATAACTCATACAGGAATCTGAAAGAAAAAGACAAGACACAGATTCAGTTCTCCTCAAATGAGCTGAGTTTAGACACGGTCTGCAGCAGACAGTTGAAAGCAGCCTGTGCCCTACACAGAGCACAACAATTTCACAGTGGTGAAGGTGAATAGGCTCAGCACCTATTACAGAGCCCATACCCTGGGACCTGGTAATCACACCCAGGCACAAGCGAGTAACACCTGCTCACCTGGCAGCTTCCGGCTGGAGAGTACTTTTCTTAGTACTACCCTTTCCTGAACTCTACTCATTAGCTCCATAGCTCACAGAAGCACATGCTGGGCTTGTCCTGCCCAGCGTTCAGTCCTTACTCTTTACTGCATATGAGAAGACAAGGAAAATGAAAAGCATCATCCACCTTCACCATCATACTCAGCTACTATGGCTACCGCTTCTCTGCCTCCAGCTGCGGGAGGACTGCCTGAACGCCCAGGCCCAGTGATGAGAACACTGAGGCGGCCTCTCCCCTCTCTTTCAGGGGTCCACTCAAATTTAAGAAAAATGGTTGGACAGCTCCTACAGAAATTACTGCAGGGTGCCAATGCAGATTTAACACCCATTTACAAAGGGTGAGGCTCTGTGACAGTCCATTGCTGTATATAATTACAAGGACAAGTCACATGTGGCAAGAACATGTTTTTCCACGGAGGCATATAAAGGATAGTTTAAACATTTAATTGAATAACATTAGTAAGTGATATTGAGTAATGTGAAGTAAACTCACTCCTATCTGCTAATACTTGGGAGAAGCACAAAAACACATTTCACAAACAACTAAAAGAAACTGAAGTCATAAGACTCTTGTTTTGGTTTTCTTGGGAGTTTTCTCACAAGCACTCAGAATTCTCACATGACTCCATTCTTGGACCATGTTCTGACACTTAAGCATGTAGATAATTTTCTAAATACAACATCAAAACTCAGGTTAGATTGTGTTAAAACTAAAATTTTCTGTCCTTCCAATATGGACCTAAGGTCAACTGGGAGTAGGGGTTGGGAGATACTGATGTCAAACAAGAGAATAAAGACATAAACCACCAAATAGATGAAAGTATTTATAAAACATATATAATAAAAAGGCAGTACTCAAAATATACAACGATCCCTTCAACTAAGAAAACAATCGACATGATTACAATCTGAACTGAAGATCCTTTTCCCCTTAATTTTTAATTTCATGTGTATGGGTGTTTTGGCTGCACACATTTCTAGCATAGCACGCATGTGTATAACATGCATGTAGTACTTGCAGAGCCCAGATGAGGGTGTTGGATTCCTTGGGACTGGAATTACAGGCAGTTGTAAGGGGCCATGTGGGTGATGGCAATCAATGTCAGGCCCCTGAAAGAACAACCAGTGCTCTTCATTGCTGAGATGGCTATTGGTTTTCAACTTGACTACAAACTAGAATGATCTAAAACCCAAGCTGCTTAGTCAGATTACTTGAAGTAGGAAGATCCACCTAAATGGGAGGTCACACCTTCTGGAGACAGCCTACACAAAAGAACATGGAAGAAGTAGACTTTGTTTTTCAGTTGCATGCCCTCACTCTTAACGATAATTTCATCTATACTGTGGCTGCCAGTATTCAATCCCACTTCTTTAGGATTCCAACACAGACGAAAGAGCAGCTGCTGTCTAGGAATCTTCCAAGATGCCAGCACCAGATTGGTTCTCCTGAGTCATCCAGCCTTGTGGAGTAAGCTACTAGTGAGACAGCCATTGCAGGATTACTAAGACCACATCCTGTAAGCCAGTCTAATGACCCCTTTCTAATATACATTCATCTATTCTGTCTCTTTAAAGAACCAAGATGGATACAACCATGGCGCCATCTCTCCAGCCCATGACTAACACTCTAAACACACATTCCATTCTGTCTGCCTACTTGCCTTTCAAGCCCTCATACCAAACATGACACGCAGTACCATGTGGAAACTGAACAAGAATTCAGGTAGGTCTTCCAAATCCATTCCACTTGTCCACATAACTATCGGCCAAACCACTCATCTGGTACAGTGAGAAATCTGACCAGAATTTGAGGTAATGATGCCCAGAGCCAATCAGCCACCCTATTGACACAGATGCCCTGGGATCATATAGAGTTCTGTGCCCCTGACCAGAGATAAGTCCCTCAAGACTGGCCTCCAGACCACCTATCTTAGCACAGTATAAAGTCCTGCACTCTGCCCCTGAGAGCACTGCCAAAACTACCACTGTGGCCCCAGAGCCTGCTAATCAAAGAACCAATTCAAGAACCCACAGAGTTCTGAAGATCAGCTGCAAGAGTCTAAACCCACAGAGGTTTACTCCTAGGTACAGAAGGTATACCTACACCAAGGTAAGCCAGGACCACTTCTCATACTCCATTCACACATCAACACAGAGTGGCCTCAAGACTGAATACCAAACAGTATTCACCTGATCCACAACCTGACAAGTTGATATAATGATGAACAAAACTCTAAGAACTTTGTATAGAAACTCAACTAAATAGATACAGATTAACAGATTAGAGAGTAAGATTCATCTTTTTGCTACCTCTAAGAAAAACACTTCAGCATCAATGATGGACACCACTTTAGAATTAAAGGCTTGAAAAAGGTATTCCAAGCAAATGAAACAAACAAGCAGGAGGAGCTACTCTAATACCAGTCAAAATATGCTTCAGACAAAACTAATCAGAAAGAACAGGAAGGAAAGGATATTTCACATTCATTAAAGGAAAAAGGTACCGAGAGGATACAATTATAAATATATGCTAAACATAGGAGCATCAACTTTCATTAAAGAGAAGAAAGGAGGAAGAGGAAGAAAAAAGAAAGATAAAGAAGAGGAAAGAAGAAGGAAGAAGGAGGAGGAAGAGGAGAAGGAGAAGCAGCAGAAGCAGCAGCAGCAGCAGCAGCAGGAGCAGAAGCAGCAGAAGAAGCAGCAGCACTGCTGTATTTAAAACCACAGATTGATCCCAGTACAATATTAGTGGGTGACTTCAATGCCCAATTGGTTTGTTGTTGTTGTTAAAGTTTCTTGTTTGTTTGTTTGTTTGTTTTTTGTCTTGTTTTTGAACTCTCTACATGGTCTCTCTATATATAGTCCTGGGTGTCCTAGAACTCACTATGTACACCAGCCTAATCTCAGAATCGGAGATCCACCTGCTCGTGCATCCTGAGAGCTAGGATTAAAGGCCTGCACTACCACACACACCGACATCTTAAATCAAATAGATTTAACAGTCTAGTCATTTACAGAATATTTTACCTAATCACTAAAAAATGCACTTTCTTTTCAGCAGCCCATAGAACTTTCTCTAAAACTGACCACGTATTAGGATGCAAAGCAAATCTCAACAAATTTGGGAAAATGAAGAGAACATCTTGTATTCTGTGATCACAAAGAAATAAAGCTGGATATCAACAGCTATAGAAACTACAGAGAGTACATGAACTTGTCGATGCTAAATACATTACTGACTGAAAACTGGGTCAAGGGAGAAACCAAGGAAGATTAAAAGTACTAGAACCGAATGAAAATAAAAAACAACATATCAAATCTATAGAACACAATGAAGGCAGTCCTAAGAGGAAAGTTGTATCACACTAAGACCTATGAATGAGAGGAGAGAGAAATGGGAGAGGGAGAAGAAAGAGGGAGAGAGGGAGAGAAGAAAGGAGAGAAGGGGGAGAGGATGGGAGAGAGTGTGACAGAGAGATTTGATTTCGCACTAATAAATTAAAGTGGCACCTGAAGGCCTTGGAAAAACAAGAACAATGGGTCAAAGACAGTATTAAAAGTCAGGCCTAAAGAGGTACACAGCTTTAATTTCAGCACTTTGAGAAACAGAAGCAGGTGAATCGCTGAATTCAACACCAAAATGGTCTACACAGTGAGTTCCAGGCCAACCAGAACTACAGACTGAAACCTAGCTTTAAAAGACAAACAAACAAAACAAAACAAAACAAAACAAAACAAAACAAAAAGAGGAGGAGGAAGGAGGAAAAACAGACAAAACAATAAAATGAGTTGGTTCTTTCAAAAGAGTAATAAGATTAACTTTAGCCAAACTAACCAAAACAGAGAAAAAGGATCCAAATTAACATAACCAGATGAAAAGGGAAGCATTACAGCAGAAACCAAGAAAATTCAAGAGAACATTAAAGACATATTTTAAAAGCCTATATTTAATTAAACTTAGAACATCTAAAAGAAATGGATAAACTGCAACATATACATGACCTACTAAAATTAAATCAAGATAAAGAAAATAAATTCATTTTATGGAGACAGTATTACCCTGATACCAAAACCAGACAAAGATCCAACAAAAAGAAAAAGTACAAGTCAATCACTCTGATAAATATGGATGCAAAACTTCTCAATAAAATATTTACGAATTTAATTCAAAAACACGTCAAAAAGATTACTAATCATGATCAAGTCAGCATCATGCTGGAGATGCAGGAACAAGTCAACATATACAAATCAGTCAATTCAATCCACCACATAAATAAACTCAATCATATGACCATTTCATTGAATACAGAAAAGATATTTAACAAAATCCAAGATCCATTCATGATAAAAAGTCCTGAAGAATCTAGGGATATGGGGCAGAGAGGGGCATATCTAAATTAAATAAATGCAATTTTCAAAAAGCCCACAGACAACATTACACTAAATGCAGGGAAATTCAAAACGCTTCTACTAAAATCAGAAACGAGGCAGATGTTTACTCTCCGTTCCTGTTGAGTACAGTGCTTGAAGTCTTAGCTAGAGCAATAAGACAAATAAGATAGAGGGGGTACCAACAAGGAAAAAAAGAAGTCAAAATATCTATTTTTGTAGGTGATATGGTTCTCTATATAAAAGATCCTAAAAAGCATACCATAAAACTCTTACAGCTAATAAATATATTCTGCATAGTAGTGGGACACAGATAGATACACAAAAATCATTAGCCTTCCCATATATCAACTACAAGCATATCAAGAAAAAAATTGAAAACAAATCTATTCACAATAGCCTAAAAATCATAACATAACAAACCAAAAAAACTTTGGAATAAATCTAAGGAAGTGAAAGACTTATATAATAACAAATCTTGAGGCACCAAAGACACTGAAGACAAATTACTCAACTGTATTCTAGGAACCCAAGGTCAAGATGTTCCAACTAACTCACTTAGGGTCTGTCAAACTTCTTGTTTGTGCAGCAATGAGCTCCCCCTGAAGCTGTAGAGGGAGATACCAGGATGTGGTTTTTGCCTTTAAAAACCCCTTACTCTAAATGTTTAGCTTTTACACCCGGGTCCAAAATAAATGAATATAGTCCCAGTTAGCTAGAATAAAGCTAGCTATTGGCTATAAAACTGTATCTGAGTGGTCTTCTCTGGTGGGCACCCCACAATATCACCAAGGGCTAGGAACAAACCTTGACACTCCCAGATGGACCTGCATTTATACCTGGAAAATACTTGTCATTTTTAAATAAAGCAAAACACCCAAAACAATGTCTCACTTGAAAATCATGAGTTGAAGTAAATGGTCTTTTTTCTATAGCAAAATTTTACAAATACTTGTTTTCTTTTGTTTCTGAAAAGCATTAGTACCCCAAACAGAAACATCTGTCTAAGTCACCATTCTATTGCCTCAAGAAAATACCATGACCAAGGCAACTATAAAAGAAAGCTTTTAATTTGGGGGCTCCTAGTTCTAGAGAATCAGAGTCTATAATGGCAGGAACTAAGGGCAGCAGGCATGGCCCTGGAGCAGAAGCTGAGAGCTTACATCTGACCCACAAGCTCAAGCAGAGGGACCAGACTGTAAATGGCCTAGAACCTCAAAATCCACAGACAGTGGCACACCTCCCCCAACAAGGCCACACCTCTTAATTCTTTCTAAACAGTTCTACCAAGTGGGCACCCACCAAGCATTCAAACACATGAACTATGGGGGGCATACTCATTCAAACTACTATAATCTGCATCCTATACCCAGCTTCTCATCACCTGGCTCCAATGAACCAAATAAAAGAGCAATCCCAAGCATAGCTAGTTTTCAGCTGGAGTAAGTCTCATATTTACCTTTCAAGGCTATCCTCTTCCAAAGTGATCTCCATGAAGGTCTTCAGCTTTCTGTTCACAGTTGCTGCAACCTCCTTAGCCTTTGCACTTACGTGTTTACCTGTAAGAAGAATGCATTGAAAACGTAAGAGATCTCAGCATCAGGACCATACATACACTTGGCTATGCACATGGGATCAGCTCTTTGGTTTTTTGTTTGTTTTACAAGTTAACCCTGGCTGACCGCAAGATAATTATGCCTTCCACAGAGATGCTATGAGAGTACATCTGCTATGAGTGATAATGCAGTTACCGGAAAGGAGTGAAAACCAGCACAAATCACATTCACCCACTGTTTATATAACTGACGGGTGCTCAGCACCCAATATCCATGTTTACACCTCCTCATGACAGGCCCTTTGCTCCTCAGAACACAAGTGCTCTGTGCGTCTCAATCAGGGGGAGCCTCTCAGACAAGCTTCTTTGGTGCCCAATCTGGCTGGATCTAACAAACTATTAAGAAAACATAATAGACTGAACACCCTAATTTCAAAATATGCAATCTGCAACATCTGAAAATTCAAGACTTTTTGTTCTACTTAGATATCAGATTTTGAAGTATTTCAGATTTTTAAATTCCAATTTAAGAATTTTCAACCAGTATATTTTGCATTGGGAAAAAAAAAAAGCTACTATGAACTTCCAAATCTGAAACAATTCTTGTCTCAGACATATGGGTGAAAGGCATTCAGCCACTGTAAAGCTTTCCAGATGTGGCAGGCATCCCAGCTCATGGCATACGAGATATCTTTACCTGTAAAGTATTAGAGTTGAAAGACATTTTAACATCAGTAAAACTTTACCAAAAATATGGAAACCTGAATACAGTCAGCCCATGAGATGCCACGGTGCTTCACACTGAGGCTGACAGATAGATTACAGGTATTGCCAGTTATTCTTCCAGTACTACTTCTAATGGCTAAGTATTCAAGAGCCATAATACCAACATGTCCATTGTTGTAAAAAATACATTTTAGAATTATTTTTGAGACTGGATTTCAATAATGTTGCCCCAAATTTCCTGTGTCAGTTTCTTAAGTAGCTGGGACTGCAGACCTCTGCTACCAAGTTCACCCAGATTTTCAGACATAAGTAATACTGGGCAAAATCAATAGCAATTCAATTTGGAACTGGGCCTTGTAGGCCAGACCTGTAATCTCAGCTACTAGCAAGGCTAAGGCAGAAAAACATAAAGTTCAAGACCTGCCTAAGTTAAAGTGAGTTCAAGGCCAGCCTAGATAAGTTAGTCAGACCCAATCTCAAAATTCAAAGGGGAGCAGGTATCATAGCTCAGTGACAGAACACACATCTAGCCTACGGAAGGCAAGGGGGAGAGGAAAGGTTAATGAAGGAAAGGAGATAAGGAAGAACGGTAAAATGGGGAAAAAGGAAGAAGAGAGGGATCCAGTTCTGAAGTACAGAGTGACAGTTACGTACACCCAACAGTTCAAGTAAAAGGCAGACAGGAGCAGAACAGGTAAGCTCATGCAGAGAGAGGCCCAGTGGACCATACTGTACTTAGACAGCACTAGGGAACAGGCTGAAAAGGCTGTAAGAAACTTATCCTGGCAGAGGTGAGGTGAAACAGAGGCCAAATTCCCAAACATCTCTAACATTAAGAGCAAACAAGGACATTATCAGTATTGCACCAGATGAAGGAGAAACAACGTAACCAACCTTTGTTAATAACCAAAATCATATGCAGAACAGCTGTGAGGCACACAATGCCTTCAATGTCACCAGAAGTTACACATGCCTTTAGTTCATCCAAAAATGACCTATAAAAGCAGCAAACATCTGAAATTATTCCACATCCTAATACTTTATAGAAAAATAAACATGGACGAGGTTCACCTAGCATCATAACCACCACTTTTCAGGTAGCATGGGAAACTGCCTGAGGTCTTCCCCTATGTGTATTACATGTCAGTTCTTGCCGATGAAATGTTAAAACCATATGGTGTGCATAAAAAAAGAAGAGGAAAACTACAGCCTTTGAAAAACACTGTACAAAAGAGATATTTAGCATGCTACTGAAAGGCAATCCACAGCTCTCAAAATGACACAATTTCACAGACTGCATCTACACTATAGAGTGCCACATGCATTCAAAGTCTGAAAAACAAACCCCTCGGTACTGTCAGTCCCCTGTGCCTAGAATCTCAGTCAAGGGATAAATGGGCTGTGGAGCCACGGTAGAGCTGAATGTTGAACAGATACTGTCCTGGTGTTTCAGCTGCAGCCTTCTGAAAATACAGTGTGCTGTTTAAGTTCTCGTTATGTTGAAACAAATTCGAGTCACCCATGAAGAGGAAACTTCAATTGAGAATTGCCTCCATCAGTCTGGCTTCTGGGCAAGTCTAGGGCACATTTTCTTGATTAATGATTGATGTGGAAGGACCCAGACCTCTGTGGGTGGAGCCCCCTCTGGGTAGGCAGTCCTGGTTATATAAGAAAGCAAACTGAAGCAGCCTTGGAGACAGCAAGCTAGCAGGCAATGTTTCTCCATGGTCCCTACTTTAATACCTGCTTCCAAGTTCCTGCCACAGCTTCTTTCAATGATAGAATGTAACTGAATATATAAGCCAAATAAACCCTCTCCTCCTTCCCACACTGGTTTTGTTCAATGTTTTGTCAGAGTAACAGAGAAGCAACCTAGGGCATAAGTGACACCAAAGGGTGGAATACTGCTGTGATGGACATGAGCATTGCTTTGAGGGAGGGTTGTGGAAGGATTTTGGAGCTTTTAACTAGAGAGGCCACTGAGCATTCAGAGCATACTGAGCTGTTCTGGGAAGATAGGGATGCTGAAAAAGATGCAAACAGAGGCCTGTTTATGACATTTCAGAGGAAAGCATGATTTCTAACAGGGTTGTTTATGTGATTTAATTTAAATTAATAATCTACGGAAATGAAAGCTTTTGTGTTACTGAAACAAATGATGCTGGCTAGCTGGAGCTGAAGAATCAGCTGTGATTAATGTGATGTGCTAGCATCACTGAGGTGATATCTGGAAATTACTTCCACAGGGTCAGCACACAGAAGTTGGGGGTCTTTTTAGGGGAGGAGGAGTTGGAGCAAGACTGTAACCCAAGCTGGTAGCCAAACATGTTGATGTGTAAGAGTTTCCCACATGAACTAGTTTTGTAGGCATGAAGGGGTCATGTAGAACAGCTGAAGCTTGGCACCATATGGCAAAGCTGGAGTCCCCACAGAGAGGCCAGAAAACCACTGCAGAATGTAAAGCCTTATCAATGGAGACTCCAACATATTGAAGAGGCCAGGTCCTTGGGACAGCCATTCAGGACAACAGCAGGTATTACAAAGTGCCAGCCTGAGTCTACTAGACAAGCTATATGTGGGGTACTCAAGTACTTCGGAGCCCAGTAGATCTTACGTGAATTTCAAATAATTTGAAGCTGCACTGATGGTCTTTGGTTTTGCTTAAGTGTTACTGTTTTTATGCCTTGCTTCTTCTCTCTTGTATTACACAATATATAACTTGACTTTCTGTTTTTCAGGAGCCCACAGTTAAAGAAATGTTACTTTGAAAGCCCAGTTTCTTTTTTCTTTTTTTTTTTTTAATTGAACTTTTTAAATACCATGGGACTTTTAACGTTACACTGGTACTTTTAAAGTTATACTATGTTTTATATTGTGATATTAACATGACATCTTCGGGATAAACAAGAAAGGAAAGCTCACGGTTTAATAGTGATATGTAAGTCAAAATGGCAATGGGTGAATTTTGCTACTTAGCTTTTGTCAACTTAGCACAAACTAGAATCACCTGGAAAGACAAAACCTCAATTGAGAAAATACCTCCACCAGACTGACCTGTGGGCATGTCTATGGTATATATTCTTGATTAAGATTGATGTTGGAGGGTCAAGCCCACTGTGGGAGGTGCCACCATTGGACAGGTGATCCTCAGTTACATGGGCAAGCAAGCTGAACAAGTCAGAGAACAAGCCAGTAAACAGTGCACCTAAACGATCTCTGTTTTCAGTTTCTGTTTTGTCTTTTCTCCATGACAAACTATATAACCTGAAAGCTAAATAAATCCTTTCCTCCTCAAATTGACTTTGGTGTTTTATCAAAGCAGCAAAGAAGCAAACTAGAACACACAGTAAGAAGTTTTTTGTTTTGTTTTTTTGTTTGTTTGTTTTTTGAGATAGGTTTTCTCAGTGTAGCTCGGCTGTCCTTGGAACCTGCTCTGGAGACCTGACTGGCCTCAAACTCACAGAGATCCACCTGCCTTTGCTGCGAGTGCAGGGATTAAAGACCTGTGCCACCACCACCCAGCAAGAAACATTTTTTACACACATTTTTCCCCTTCTACCAGAATTTAGTTGTAATAAACATAGCTAAAACTATTTAAATGAATATAACAGTTTATAGAAAGTCAAGGTCATCTTTATGAAAGTTCAATGTTAACATTTTCCATCACTCATAAGATGAAGAAAAATTCTATGGAATATGTTCTCAAGGGGGTAAAAATACCTTTGAAAACTGAGAGTAAAAGGTAACAGAGCACGAGGCATGGGGAACAGTTATAGAAAGCGCTGTGCCAAGATCAGAGAGACAAGAAAATTACCTGACCACATCCGGAGACTTCATTATTACTCCCACTAAACACCTTGAAAATGGAGGAAGGTCAGCTAGACATTGAGGGGAGGTCAGCTCTTCTATATCAGAAACCTAGAAATGTTTCAGATCAGTATATTATAAATGGCCTGGAATGACAACTTGGTTCACACTCATCTAGGTTTTCTTCTACCTGACAAAAGCATTCCAGAGACTCAAAGAACAAGCTTTATTCACTACAGTTAGTTATGAATATGGCATTATTTTACCCAGGGACATTTCACTCAGTGAAGCAGAAATAAAGGATATATCACTTAGCAAGCCCTTTATCAAATGACCTTTATTTACCTTGGTATCATCTTCCATAAACAATATACTTTATGCTAAGCCACTTTAACCAGTTCTCCTTCCCAACCCTGATTAGAATCTCTCTGTCTCCGAACGCTGGTGCTTTGGTCGAAAGTCTCCCTGTGGTACAATGGGTAGGGTAGGGATATACTGTCCTGTCTGTGAGTTACACGATGTGAAGCAGCATGCTTGGCCTCTGCCCACTTGCTTGATAGAACATTCTTGTAACTAATGTGACAGATCCTCACAGGACACACCCTGGACAACACTCTACTACCAACCATGTGAAGGCTGACAGGTCATTCACTTTTGCTGAGTACCTTCCTCATGGAAACAGTTCCTGAAGTAACTTGTAATTGCCATTCCCAGAGGAGGCTTATGTCTGTTTTCTCCTATGACTGCTGCAGTGTGAACATGTCCATCTCACCTCATTGCTCCCTCCCTGTCTTTTGCCTAAGCCTTGCTGTCTTGGGCACATTACATTAAATTATAAGTTTTAGCAGCCACCAACCTAAGTGTTGAACATACATTTATGATACACTGAGAGAAAGTACTACTGATTAAAATAAAATAATTTAAAGAACAAACACATCAGTAGCTTTATTAACATCAGATAGACTATAAGCATCCTCCCAAATGAAGACACTTGTCAGAGTGGGGTTTTTTAAATTATTTATACGATACTTACAACACCTTAACTATAAGGATGGGTCAGAAGTAAAATCTAAAATTCCTAGGAATCTGATGCCCCCTTTCGATCTCCACAGGTACCTGGCATGCACACATACATGCAGGCAAATACTCAGACATAAAATAATTTACACTTGGGTCATGCTGTATGCTGACACTGAGGCAGCAAGTAACAGTGTATCTGACAATGTCCTAGAGCATTATGTCAACTGTGCTAGCATCTGTGTAAGCATACTCAGGGTGGCACAATGAGAATTTGCATCTTCATTTCTCAGAATACCCATGGTCACACAGTACATGGCCATCTGCAAGTACATGCATTCAGTGAGTAAGCCCACTCGCCTCCAAGTCACTACCTATGTGTATGTGGGACATCTTGGAGCCTACCTAAGAAGAAAAAGACCATTCTGCATGCTCTCTATGGTACTGTATCACTTTCTATGTTAGCTCAAATGGTCCCCCGATCAGATCAATTTTTAACCAAACAAGTTCAATCTGTGTAAATAAGAGTCTTCCATTCACCTTGAACTTATGCTAGAAAAACAGATTTCAAAACTTCAAGTTTCTGTAGCTAGAGGGATAGCTTGGCTGCTAAGAGAGCTTATTGCTTTTACAGAAGAACCCAGGCTCAGTTCCCAGAACTCCAAAAGCACTGACAACAACCTGTAAATCCAGCTGTAGGGTATCTGATATCCTTTTATGGTCTCTGTGACCACCAGGCATGCATGTGATACACATGTAGGTAAAACACTCATACATAATATTCAAGTTTCCTACGTTGGAATGGAAAGAGAAAAAGACATGCAGAGATATAAACCACTGTACATTAATACAGTGCAGAGCAGTCCTGAACTATTTGCCCAACTATCCCTGATCTCTATCAACTCACGCAAATGTCTGAGAACCAACAGACATGTCCACATCATGGAGCCTAGATCCATCTCAGTCAGGAGTGACAATACCCTTAACATATGCTTCATAGTTGCCATATGGCTCTAGACAACCAACTAGCTGAATGGCCAGGTGTAGGAACTGGCAAGACAATCCTCACCAAATCTGGAAACACCTAACCAAGTCCTGTAAGCAGAGCAGTCGAGAAACAGCAATTCCAGAATTGATATACCTCACCTTCTGCAGCTGGTGACTTATTTCAACCACAGGTGCAGCAATCAGAGTAGAGAGCACAGCATGGTGCACTGCGGTGTCCTTATGCCAGGACTGGATAATGGAGATGAACTCATGAAGAGGGGTGTGAACAGAATGAAAGAGCTACAAGAAACCACATCAGTCATTGTCAGTAGAGATAAAAATCAGAAAGAAAGAAAGAAAGAAAGAAAGAGAGGAGAGAGAGACAGAGAGAGAAGGAGGGAGGGAGGGAGGGAGGGAGGGAGGGAGGGAGGGAGGAAGGAAGGAAGGAAGGAAGAAAGAAAGAAAGAAGAAAGGAAGAAAGGAAGAAAGACAGACAGACAAGTATACCAGCCGTGGTGGCTCACATCTGTATAAAAGCAAAACAGGAGGCTGAGGTGGGAGGACTGAGGTGAGTTTAAGGCCAGCCTGGGCTACATTGCAAGTTCCAGGCCAACCTAAGCTAGAAAGTAAGACACTGCCTCCAAAAATAATAACAATAATAAAATAATAATAAAATGCCTGCCAGGCATGGTGGCATATGCCTGGGGAGGCAGAGGTAGGTTGATTTCTGTGATTACAAGGCCAGCCTGCTCCCCACAGTGAGTTCAAGGACAGCTAGAGCTCCACAAAGAAAGAACCTCTCTCAAAAACAACAACAAAAATAAAACAAACTGGCCGGGCGCACGCCTTTAATCCCAGGACTTGGGAGGCAGAGGCAGGCGGATTTCTGAGTTCGAGGACAGCCTGCTCTACAGAGTTCCAGGACAGCCCGGGCTACACAGAGCAACCCTGTCTCGAAAAACCAAAAAATAAAAAATAAAATAAAACAAACCAATAATATAAAATAATATTGATAGTAAAGAGGGAAGGATGACAGAAAGAAAGGCAACATTAAAACCATGAGCTCAGCCGGTGTATTCTGAATGCACTACTCAATGGATGGTGGGAGACTTGTCAGCGACATTAAGATCAGGCATAAACCACATAAACAATGTGTCAGCGGTATTCACATATTTCCATCAGCTAAGGCTAGAATAAACTTCATATACAACCTCTCACTAAAACAAGAACAGTTTACTGATAGAAAAAAACTGGCTCTCTCTGCTAACAACATAATTTATTCAGGAACTGGCTTTTTCCTGTTTTTAGGAACAGGTCTAGTTCCTTTGATTTTTAGGACCTGGCTCTTCAGTCATCTCAGTCTGTGAGCTTTCCACCATCTACAGGAAGCCATGGTCCCTTCAGGGTGCTTCTCCACGGCAACATTAACAAATGGTGGGAGTCAGCACTCTCCCAGGCAGTCACTGTCTCTGTCTCTGTTCAAATGAGCATCTTCCCAAGTATATTCTGTCTGGGACCTCCATCACTGAGCTATAGAAGGTGGATCTGCACGCCACCAAAGAATGCAGGCATGCTGGGCTTTAACTCAATGCCTTTAACAGACAGCACAGTGAGAGACACTGCGGACAGCCACAGTCTCCACACATCTAACCCAGCCACCCCTCCTACCACCAACAACACTCCCCAACCCCCCAACCCCCCAGTCAAATAACCCAGCCCATTTAAGCACAATACCAGCAGACTTTCTTCAGGCTGCTTCTTGAAGATACAGGCAACACATTCCAACATCTTCTGAAACACTTCCTGGACTAAGTCAAACAGCACTGTAAGTTTTTCATCTGAATCTGTTGCGTGAATCATGGAGTTCCCAGCTATCTCCTTCAGAATGCCAAGTAGTAATGAAACATAAAAAAATCCCTTCACTAAAAAGAAAAGAAACATTAATCGCCTAAGCACATGATTTAGTTGAAATTACTCAATACATGTATAAGGCAGTAATGGAAGAACCTATTACTATTGAGTCAGCACCAAGCACCTCATCAGACTGATCCAAACTAGAACCCAACACCTAAGAACTTCTTCCCCAGCAGCAACAGTACAGCTGACTCTGTCAGTAAACTAAGAACTCTGGTCACTGCATGTGAACAACTAGCAGTATGATTCCTATGGCACATGATGTATAAAACATATACTTTCTCTTACATTAACACCTAAGTAAAAACCCAGAAAGGACAACTCCAACTTCACATCTCTCACTATCATTTGATAACCTCAGAAATTTCTGATACTCGGTAGTAACTGGTTTCCTTTTTTTTTTTTCCCCAGTTATCTCCCACTGGGTACATGATCTGGTAAAATTCATTCTGTATATAAGCCTAATAACACTATTACTCCATTCACCTTTCTAATCAATCTTTCTGATAAAAGCTACACAAACAGAGACAGTGGTCTGGCCCCAGGAAACTTCAAGGGCACCCTATATCACCCTGTCCCACCCTAACACATGGCTCAGGTGCTGATTCACCTTTAACTTTTGGGTACTGGACAGCAGCCTCCTGGCAGAACTCATGGTACAAGACACATTAAAATAAAACAAGCATGCAATAAAGCAAAGAAATGATGTCACTCACAGAAAGCCTATTGTCCAGGTGACCACAAGGACGCCCAGAGAATGGGTCTAGATATGAAGGATAAAATCCAGCAAGCTGCCAGAGACCATAACCAACTATACCCCAAACCTTCCTACTAAAAAAAGACAGACTTTTCACCCCAGAGGCTCTCTATGAATCCGTTCTAGGTCTAAGACTCTGCCAGAATCAATAAGCAGCTGCATAAAATCACTAAACCACAACAGAAACTTTCAAGGATCTACTACTCTCATTCAGAGGAGGGTGGAAGAACTCATTTCTTATATACATTTGTCTATGGAACATCCACCAATGGGACAGGGGATGAATTCTTTAAGCCAGGATACTGCTGACCAAGACCCAGACATCCTAATCTGGGATACTGTGTTGGAGGAGGTATGTTACTTGGGACAGGCTTTGAGGTTTCAAAACCTATGCCATTCCCAGTGAGCGCTCTTTTTCTGACTAATGGCTGTGTCTCAAGATGTAATCTCTCTGCTATTACTCCAGCTCCATGCTCGCCTACCTGCTGCCATGCTCCCCGCCATGAAAGTCAGGGACTCACTTCCCCAATAAATTCTCTACTCTACAAGTTGCCCTGATCATAGTGTCTTATCAGAGCAATAGAAAAGTAACTACGACATATAACTAATTTCTGAAAATGGGCTTCTTCATTTTGCCTCTTTCAAGCAGAGCAAAAAGTTCAAAACATAGTAGACTCTAGGTTTTACCTAAACTGCTGGACTCAGGTCCAACTCTTAACCTGTTGTAAAGGGATTGGGAACCACGATATGATAAAATGGACTAACTGGGCAGCAAAATCTGGTTAGTTCTACAATACTAAATTGTATATATAATTAAAAATAGATTCAGCCCTGAGGCAAAACAATTCCTAAATGATGAATGAAGTGATGGATGAATTTTCATTATTTCAATTCCAAGCTCTATCACTCACATCACTTAACTGCAAAGGCTAACTTCACTCATCTAAATGTGCTAAAGAGAATTCAATGAAGGATGGCCTCTCTCATTAAACTACTGGACTTTAAAAAATGAAAATTTCAAATTCGGGAAGACACTTGCATAAACCTCAGTAAAACTAGGATGTGTAGTAAAAGCCACTACTAACAGTCCATACCACAGAGGATGGCTGGGGCCTTGGGAAGATGCAAGGTCATATTTCAGTAGGACTCTTCTTGTCACTGTGCCAGAGGCATCACCAGTTCTGGTTCTAGGTGTGCCACCCTCCTGACAACATCACTCACACCCTTCTTCTGGGAGGGCCTCTACATAGATGCCAGCTGGAGAAGTCTGCCCACCAAGAAGGCAGACAGACACTGGACAATGTGCGTGATATCAGATGCATCTCTGAAACTGCTAGCTGCATTAGCTAATAAACAACTGTTCTGGTAAAAGCCAGTGTGTGTTCCTTTGAACACATCAGTTGCTTGGAAGCCAGATTCTTATCTACAGAGGGAGGAAATGAGGGACCAGCTATAAATTCATATTGCTTTCAAACATTCCCTTAATGGATGAATAATGCTATGGTACCTGCTTTCATTATTCCAAAACTCCGCTGTAAAAGTTGCATCTGAAATTTAGGATCTCCAAGCCCCACCATGACAGCATCTTTACACACAGCCAAGTAAGTCTGTAAGACATGCAAAGGTCCATCAACAACAAAAACCATTTAACAAGGAAGGCAGTCAAGCCCACAAATCCTCTCCATGATGTGACATACTAATGTTTTAACCAGATGTCTACAGCTATATTGCTAAAGGAACGTCCATAAATATATATTTTTTTATTATTTCTATAAGAATGCTATAGATAGTGTATGCAATTCCACCAACCTAACCGAATGACCGTTCATGTGCAACTTGTTAAACTGATTGAAATTATGTAGATTGTGTTTTGTAAAAAGAAATGCCATTTTAGGTACTAAAAAGAAATATAAGGGTCTAAACCCACTTTATAACAAAATAAGCCATCAAGAAAATACAGCGAAAGGTCAAGAGAATGAGTTTTGTGTCTCAGCTGCTGACCTGGATTATCTGTTGATAAACATCCCTCCGAAGCTTCAGATACTCCTCTTCTTGGTCTTCAAGAAGAGGTAAAACTTTGTTTTCTAACCAAGACCCAGTGTCATTCAAGATGGACAGATGAATTTTCTCCTCTGAGCAGAACTGTCCAACACAACAAGGAAGCTAATGAATAACAAAAGCAGCTTTGATACATACTGCTTAGACCACAAGAACCAGACATCGTACCTTGTACTGAAGATGCACGCTCATCCTACAGTACAGACCAAAGGCGTGCAGGGCAGTTGTTTTGTTGAAGTTGAGGGGATTCCCACTTGGACAATGAAGAAATGATTCCAGATCTGCCTGTAAAATTACAAGCCAGGACCCACACTCTGAGTGACATGTGACTACATCAAAACAAGGTGCAGAGTGCCTGATCCACAGGCACACGAGAGGGTTATAGCAGTGCAGCTCGGGCTCCCATCCTTGCACCTAACACTAGCTGCTGAGCGTCAGGAGCATACAACACAGTTGGCAGGTGCACGGGGCCACAGGACCACTGGCCGCAAGTACCACAGTCTATTTCCTCAGGGCAGGCTCTGCTGAACCACTATCCTGGGTGGTAGCAATAAGGACTGTTGGGTGGAGAATCATACAGGAGGTAGTCAGGGTTGCAGCACAGGAAAAAAAAAAGATTCCAAAGGGCACTTGGGGAACAATGAATTCATGTCACATACTTTCCCAAAATTCCTAGAAAACACAGCGTAAGACTTAAGAGAGCTAGTACCTCCTCACTGACCACTGTCCTGAACAGCCTATTCTGAGACGAGAGGACACAAACTGGAGCCCTGACACACTAGAAATCTTGGAGAAATGTGGGCTCTAAACACTGCTTGAAAGGAGACAGGTCTTGGAAATGGCTCTGCTCCCGGCCTCGTCTGTGCACTTTAGAGTCTAGACGTCCATTCTCGGTTCTTTTCCAGCTTGCAAACATTACAGCGCCAACACATGAAAAGTCTATCTTGCTGCATCACTGTTACTGCTATATCAAGTCACTTTAACTTCCAGAATAAGTAGTTACCTTGGATCCCTCAAGTGCTTTTAAAAGCTGGTTCAGTTTCTTCTGGGGTGCAGACAGCAGACACTCTCGATTCTTCGGATGGGTCAGCAAATACTCCATGTACAACAATGCTATCTCAGGTTTCACTGAGCATGTGTCATTGATTTGCACTTCACGCTTAGAGGACAAATTACTCTGAAGGAAAGCAGTGAAACAAAGAGGCAATTAGAGCTTGCGTTCCCAGAACACTGTACAGTTTCCAGATGCCCTTGTTCTCCACATTCAGGGGCACAGCTGGATACAAACCTTGGTTGGAGGTGGCATTGTAGGCAGCCAGTCCACAATGAGCTCCAGGACATGCCCCACTTTCCCCCAGGAACAGAGACAATCGAGCAAGGTACAGTAGCTCCTGCCAGTAACAATCTCCTCCTGATTTCTCAGAGCAGAAATCACACCACAGCTGAAAATGTCAAGTACAGAAAACATGGTTAAAACCTCCCACTTTCCCACAGGTGAGGAAAACCAAGGCATAATTTGAGTATATCATGGAAACACAGGCTTCATAGGTATTTGTTCCACTTTGAAACCTGTAACAGTGTGCAGCTGCAAAAGGACATGACCCATACCTCAACCTCCTGTTTTTAGAGCCAGCTGTCTTCCTGAGGTCCTAATTTAAGGCATTACTTTTTTTCATATATATATATTCTGACCCCAATTTTTCCCTCCCCCAACTCCTCCTGGATCCTTCCCATTTCCCTACCCACTCAACTCCATACCCTTTCTCTTTAAAAAGCACACGCACAAAACCACAAAATTAAAAACCCAAATACCCTTGCAAAAGACCAATAAGACAAAAATAAGACATTAGCCACAAACATTCATGACTAGCTCAGCAGGTAAGAGTGTGTTGTTCCCAAGCCTGATGACCTAAGTTTGACTCCCAGAATCCACAAAGAGAACCAACTCTCAAAAGTTGCTCTCTGGCCTCTAGCCACTTTGTAGACACATAGACACACACATAAAAGTTTTTAAAAGTATGTAAATAGAAGCAAATAGATCAAAGGCATGACAGCAATAGGCCATGCCTTGGGTTTGCTCGCTAGCCACACAAAAAGGTTTAATACCAACTACATAAAAAGACCTAGAGAAATGGATTTCAATAGTGTTTTTTTTTTTAATTTTTAATTTTATGTATATGGTTGTTGGTCCGCGTGTGTATCTGTACAGCACATGCACCACCTGGTGTCCGAGGAGACCATAAGAGAGCATCGAATTCCCTGGTACTGTACTAGAAGGTTAGACATGAGATACCACGTATGTGATGGGAACTGAACCAGGTCCTCTGAAAGAGCAGTCAGTACTCTTAACCACTGAGCCAATTCTCCAGCCCTCAACAGCTTACTCAATCTTCCTCTTAAAAACACTTTACAATGTACTAAGTATTCTGACATCCGTTCTTCCTCCCCTGTGTATTCACAGCACATCAGCAGTGACCTAAGCTCTGGAGATAAACATTCTGAGCATGAGAACGAGCCCAGACATCAGGTGAGGTCATAGTCGAGGTCCTCATGATCTCTCTTAACAACTTCAGAGCACACTGAAATCACATCCTAACAATCTTTCCATAAAGCAGCAGGCAAGGCAGAGGGGAAGCACAGAGTAGGTGACAGCAAACCCCAGTGAGGACAGATTCTTGTGCTGTGGCAGCATACCTGAACACAGGGACAGCAGAGGCTGGCAAGAAGGACATTAGCATGAACAATGGGATCTTGCAGTGCTCATCCTGGGAACACAAAAAGAAACGTCAAGCTAATGCAAGATTTGACCATAGTCACTGTGTAGAGAAGATCAAATCTAAAGGTGGCCCTCAGGTTGAAGATGAGATTACTTGAACCAAGTATCCTGACAACTCTGTACCACCTTTACTATTGAACAAATACTTACTGCAGCAAGTACAGTCATGGAGTTGTATATACTTTCAAAACATTTCTGATGAAAGGAAAATGTTGACTAATTACTTATCCTGAACAACACTCGAGAGGACTATGCTATTCAGATAAAATAATATACAAGATGAATCAGACAATGTTATTTAAGGGAATGCACATTCTTTGTAGCTGCAAAATAAATTTCAGTCTAACTGGATCCTACACCTAAGAGCTTAAATCAAGTAAAACACAGAGGAAAGGGCCTAAGAACAGTCAGTTTCCTCTTCCTAAAATGAAGAGTGCTATTTGAGACTGAATGAACCAAACCACAAGAAAATGGGCACAGTAAACCCTAAAGTATGTTAAGTGCAATAAACTGGAGCTTAATTAGTATTATTATTACAACAGTAAAGCAAACTGAGCAGATTTTAATTGCTCAGACGCCATCAGGAACACCACATAAGGGATGAGGAGATGGCTCAGTAGCTAAAGTCCTTGCCATTCAAGTTTCAAGGCTGGAGTTAGGATTCCCAAAACCCACATAAATTCTGGGTGGGTATGGCAGCCTATCTGTAATTCCAGTGCTCAAGGGATCCCCAGAGCAAGCTGACTATTTAAACTAGCCATACTGATGAGCTCTAGATTGAACTCATAGACCATACCTGAATGAGTAAGAAAAAGAATAACTGTGTCCATCCTACACACGTGCAAACATCCATATGCACACCACACATATACACAGACAAACCAAAACACAACATAATTTTTTTGCTAAGAGAATGAGGATCCCAAGGGGGAAAAATAACTTTCCTGAAAACAAACATAAATACAGAAAGAAGAACAAAATTAAAGTGAGACTTATTCACCTGCATTCAATTAACTAACTCCCAATAATGTACTTAGTAGCTCAATTTAACCATCTCATCAAATTACACATACTCCAAAACATGCCAGGAAAAGTATAAGTAAAAGTATCTTTTTGTTCACCTTTTACAAAAGCAAACAGAGACTACTGAGGATATTACTTTAGTGTGGATGGGAGAAGGAGCAAGGAGAGGAGGGAGGGTTAATTGAAACCAGGAATTATTTAAAACCCTTGTAAAATCCTACTTTGTAAACTAATTAAAAATATAATGTTTCTTTTTTAATGATGACTGAGTAGAAGCACCCTGCATGGGTGGCTAATGCTACTCCTAGAAAACACAAGCTATTACATGAAACCTTGCTGCCGGGCATGGGATACCTCTGAGTTGCTGATAAGGGAGGTCCCACACCACACTAAATAACACAAGCTATTGCCAGTGTTCTTGGTTGCCTGCCGGACATGCACGCTAAGATCTAGTTGAGGAAGATACTACCCACTTTGATTACAAGGCAAACAGAAATCAAGCTGGAACTGAAAACTTTCTCTTTCAGGCTGGCTTACTACGCAAGCTGCTAGAGAGGCAACTGACTGTCTTTCCCTGCAGCAGACCCTGAAAGCAACAATACTGATGTGTCAGGCAAGACATACCTACTGGTATGATAGTGGCATAATTGTTGTAGAGATAACCAACCACTTTATAAAGTGGCCAAAGCTACGGTCAAAGTATAAGTCCTAGTGGGGAAAGCTACTGCTTTTCCTTTGCTAAATATGCATGTTGTCTAACTGCTTTCTAAATTAAACCTACAGATTAGTGCCAGTTTCAACCTACGTCATATTTTTGATTAATGCAGAGACGCCTAAGTGGTAAAAGTACTGAGACTGACTGTTGAATACTCAGTCCTAAATGGGACACTGCCATCAACTCCTTCCCCACCAAGACTCAGAGAACATCATGGAAGAGAGAGCAAAGCAAAAAAAAAAAAAAAAAGGCAAGACTAAAAGAATAGGGAAAACTGCTGTTCTTCAGACATGACACAGCTGTGGCACCAATATACCCAGAGGCTGTGGTTAGCTGCACAAGACTATACAAGATTGACCCCATCAATATCCAGCATGCAATGAGCTTAAGAGACTCCACTCCTAGCTGAGGAGTTATTGGAAATTAATAGCACCTGGGTAAAAAGTCATCTTTCTTGTCCATATCTGGTAAATAAAGTGACACCCATATATACGGAAGTAAGCAACCTTAATTAAACTCAGGAGATAAAAAAAAATTTTAAAGATATAAAGAGGTCATGTTGGGAAGAAAGTGCTCAGAGAGCATGAGAGGGAAAAAGAGAGGAGAACAGGAGCAGTACACAGCATCAAAATAAAGGAAGGAAATGAAATCATCACAGTACATTTTTTAAATGTATTTTTATTTAATAAACTTATATGTTTAATGGTGTGTGTGTGTGTGTGTGTGTGTGTGTGTGTGTGTGTGTGTGTGTGCGTGTGTATAACCTCATGCCAAGGTAAGGGCCACTACAACCTTCCCGTTGTGTATACAAGACAGAACTTCTACTAAAGATGAAACCTGTCACCACAAAACAGCTTACTTATAAGAATGGCCCACACTTACCTTGAATACCTTCAGGTACTCTGGAAGCACAGAGGCAAACTTATTAATGGTATAAACTTTGGCCTCTTTATTATTTTCCAGGCTTCTATGGATGTTCTTCCAGAGGATCACGATGATTTCTAGTAAGCCTGCCATGGACGCAGTGTCATTCACTGACAATGTTTTGTCTAGTATCTAAGACACAAATAATGTTTCTGTGAAAGAATCTAATAACAAGTATTAAAAGTAATATCTTCAAAAGCACAGCTCAGGCCGGGCGGTGGTGGCGCACGCCTTTAATCCCAGCACTTGGGAGGCAGAGGCAGGCGGATTTCTGAGTTCGAGAGTTCGATACTAGCCTGGTCTACAGAGTGAGTTCCAGGACAGTCAGGGCTACACAGAGAAACCCTGTCTCCAAAAACCAACCAAACAACCAAACAAACAAACAAACAAACAAAAAAAAAAAAAAAAAAAAAAAAGCACAGCTCAGAATTACAGACACATAACAACATAAATAATGCAATGTCAACTTCCATGGTATAATAAAACTTTCTTCACTACTTTAGAACCTATCTAGACTAGGAATGTAGACTTATTTCCAAATTCCATCCAAGAAATAAATTCTAAATTAACTCTACAGTTTTTAATGAAAGTCTATATGAACTAAAACTTTTCTAAAATCAGAAACTAGTACTCTTTACCACACACCCCATGCAAATGGGATTACAATACACTACAAGGTCATTGCTAAGCATGGCTGTACAACTTTGGCCTGTCCAGTAGGCACTGATTGATAGATAGTTTTTTTTTTTTTTTCTGAGACCAGCAAGATACAACTCACAACTGGAAAGTGATTAATGGAAGCTAACCATCACTAAAACCATAGATTTATTTGGCTTGTTGAAAACAAACCTGTTTATATTTTATATTTTCCTATTATGCTGGTCAATGATGCCATACCAAAATGTTCAGTGTAAACCAAAATCCCTGTCTCCAGAGCTGGTGCCTAGACCTGGCTTATGACGTGCCTATCAGTGACTGGCCCATGGAGATACACAGACACAAGAGATGATCGAAGGAACTTCCTAACGTTGAATGGGGAGGAGGACTCAGCTTAGTTTTCACCATTCGACTGTGAGTACAAAATGGATCCTGATCAATAAGAATAACCAAAAAGCAAACATGTTCTCCCTAGTAGCTGTGTCAGCATGCACTAAATGCTTTGAGATGTACTATGGCCAATCAGACTGATAAAGCAATCTGCTAGTGGCTTGGATATTACCAGAAGCACAATGTGACAAATTGATCAAAGTTGTCCTTCTGGCTAAACCTTACCCTTTTCTGTGCTCTAACTCTGTGAATAGAAAACCTGCTTGATAGAGCATGCTTACATTTATACTGAGCATTATAGCAAGTGATCTTTATGTATTATCAGCCTAAGAAATATAAGTAGTTTATTTATTTTAAAGTAAACCACAGAAGCTCAGTATTTTAGCACAGCAGACTCATTAAAATTTATGAAACCCACTCTTACCCTTTGAGAATAAGACTTGAATAATGTACTAGGCTCTTAAGTAATGGTTCCTTTATTTTATTCTAGCAGGCTAGGCTATAATACTAGGCTCCTAAGTAATAGTTCCAGTGTTTTATTTTAGCAAAGACTATCCCTGGATGTTAAATGATGGCAATGAAAAGGTCTCTATTTGAGATTGGGTCTTCCAGGCTGTCCTGGAACTAGCTATGTAGACCATGCTATTCTTGAACTCACAGAGATCCATCTGCCTTTACCACCCAAGCCCTGGGATTAATTCTGTATGCCTCCATGCCTGGCTCCATGAGAAAATCTTAAAAAAAAAAAAAAACCTTCTTTAAAACCTTGGGCATAGTAGTGTGTGCTTATAACTAAGCACTAAGGAGGCAGGCAATAGGAAAGAGGATGGTCACAAGTTCTAGGTGACCCTGGGACTTCCAGGACAGCCTGGGCTACATAGTGAGACTATCTCAAAAACAAAATAAAACATTGTGTGTGTGTGTGTTCTAAATGTACTTATATGACAAGTTATATATATTTTTCTAACGTTACAGTGTAGATATATATTCTGAACCTGACAACCTAGAATGAGAATTTATATAGCAAATTATGTTTTTACACAAGGTACAATGGAAATGATTGTCTTCTTTAAAATTATTGAAAATTATATAAAAGATACTGTAAGCTTTCATATTATGTAGCTATTGGTAACAAGGTTAAAGAATATCGTCAATATTTACAAAATGTAAAACATTTTCAATTAGTACATTACCAAATTCATGGTCTCTTTTGCAAAGTCATGTTCAATCCCAATATAAGACTGCAGTGGCCTACAGCAACATATGTTTACCCACTTCTCCCAATGCCAGCAATGTCATGTGGCAGGCTGGTAGTAGATCACCTACTGATCACAGCACAAAAGCTACATTTCAACTCAGCTAAGTGTTCCAGAAAAGTTTCGCACACCCTATCTACAATGCAGAAAGCGTAGAAGAACAGAAGGGACTCAAACCCTACTAATCAGACAGCTCTGAACACATGAAAAGGTACTGGCCAGCCAAGGTGTGAACATGAAGCCACAGTGTTCTACATTCTATTCTCCCTCCACTGCACACCTACGTTTTAGTCCTTCAGCAGTTTTTACTGACAATTTCAGTCCAGCCCAGCCAAACAGGGAGACAAAGAGAAAAGGACATCTACTCAGGGGTGGAGCTAGTTGTCTGTCAAGATGCAACAGGGAAGACACACTGAGGTAACCATGACACTGGCATATCATATAGAAGAGGCTATCTGAATATAATTGCCTACTCTCTCTAGGTGGGTCACAGGGTAGTAAGACCAAGCCCCAGGACTTAGTCATGTAGTAAGCATACTAGCATAGAACATTAGCAAAGGAAATTTTATTTTGAGACTTTTTTCTACAGGACAGATTTCTAATCTATTTGAGTACTGAAAACCAAAAAAAAAAAAAGGAAGAAAAGAAAATTCTCTTAAGTTTTACTTTAGATATTTAAATTTGAAGTGCTTATTCATAAGCTTAAGATGTGGCTTGAAAGTAAGTATAGTCAAGTCTCAACTGACTATTATTGCATATTTTGGGATTTACTAAAAGACTAGCTAATTTTAGGCAATTCTACAAAAAGCTTGCACCCAAAAGTTCATCCCCAAAATGTTTCTAGAACAACATGTTAGTGACTCTGACAGACACCAGCTCCATGTCCAGGATCTAGCTCAATAGTGTTACGCTCAAAATGAACTGAACACAGAGAGACCCAGTGAAAAAAAAAATATATAGGACAAGGTGCCACCAGTAAGAATATTCTTGTTTTTATAACATCCTACCAGACTCTAAGAGTTAAGTACAAAAGATATACCACAATTTTTTTTTTTTTTTTTGGTTTTTTGAGACAGGGTTTCTCTGTGTAGCCCTGGCTATCCTGGAACTCACACTGTAGACTAGGCTGGCCTCGAACACAGAAATCCGCCTGCATCTGCCTCTCAAGTGCTGGGATTAAAGGCGTGTGCCACCACTGCCCGGCCACAATTTAAAAAATATATAATTTATGACTTTTCAAAAGCTGTACTTGAGTATCTTTATTGAATCAAGTGTGAAATAAAACCATCCTAACAGCCTATACAAATGATACCAAACAAATTCTGCTTGTCTTTAGTGTGAAGTGAGAGAGACACTTACACTGGCGTTCTCCTTCTCGCACTCCTTGTGGGCCTCTGGGCCCTCCCTCAGAGTCCTCTGGATACAGGCGTTCAAGCAGTGGCGGATGACGTGCATAAGCTTCGCTAAAGGGGTTAAGAGAATCAACAAATAAATGTGTCTTTTATAAAATTAGCTTTCCAATTAGAAAACTATAATCTCAAATAGTAAAGAGTATCACTTTAAGGAAATCATTAAGAAATGCAAGAGAGCACGAAGCTTACTAAGTAAAACTACTGGGCATCTAATGTGCAGTTGGCTGGGTGAGAGGCAGCAAGCCACAGGGGAAGCAGAGACTCAGACCTATGTTTGTGCTGGCGGTATGCTCATGGGCATACTGATAGAACCTCCTGGCAGCTGCGCGATTCATCTGGATCAGCGAGACACAGCGCTCACACCACACCTCCTCTGGCTGGTTCACAGGCAGAAAAGAGTTGAAGATGAGGCTCACCAGGCGCCGAGACACAGGCCTAGAATCCATTTCCAGGCGAACCAAAATGTCCTCCATGGGGCATATTTTCCAAAACTGGGGGTGGGGGTGGAGACATACCAAAGGAAATAAGCAGTGGTTCCTAGAAACTTGAAAACTGCTAGTTTCCTGAATATAACCAAAGAACTAATTTTTTTTATACTCAAGAAAAATCCTTTTAAATACGTATACCAGACAGAATCTGAGTTTTCTGTGAACATGTAAGGTATAGCATGAGGCTGTGGAAAGGCCGACTAGGACTCCTCAGCAGCATGATTCATACACGAATGATGGCTCCAATCAATCAAGGTGATCACTTCTACATACGTAGCTCTACTAATCCACTAGCTCATCTATTCACATGCTTTTTACCTATTCACCGTTTGGATGTGAACACTTCCTCGTCTCTCTCAGAGACCCAGACCATCCCTGTGACACCCTACGACTGCTGCCTCCTCGCTCCTTCTACTGGGAGCAGTCTCCTTGTCCAGCTCAGAAGCTCGCACGATCACATATTCCACAAGAGACAGATAGCAGCACTGTTTCTGGTGGTCGTGTGTGCGTGTGCATGTGCGTGTGTGTGTGAAGTCAGGGTCTCAAGTATCCTGGCCAGCCTCAAATGTTTATAGTTGAAGATTAACTTAAAACTTCAGATCTCCTTGCCTCTACCTCCTGAATACTAGGATCACAGGCATACAGCACCACACATATTTAGACTAGGGACTGAACCCAGGCCTTTTTGTGCTAGACAGGCACTCTGCCAACTAAGCTACAACCCCAACTCTAGCACAGGCTTCTAGCACCTGGGCAGCTCCTCCACAGAGCCCATGTCCATCCTCACCAACACACACATACTTCTTAGCCAAAGGCTAAGTCCAAATAAGTTATACATGCATACAAGGTATAAGTTGTCACTCTGAACAGCACACAGGCAGATATGTGGGTGGCAATGCCCCCAGCAACGGGTATTTCTAAGGATAGTCAGACACACTAGCCTTGAACTCCTTTTATCCTTGAAGCCCTCTTGTCTCAGTGATAGAGCACCTGGCCTAACACTGAGTTCAATACCCAGTAACAGAGAAAAAAGGTTATAAAAAAAAAAAAAAGGAAGAAAGAGAAAAAAAACCTGAATTGGAACTGAAAAGAAGGCAACTTTTATGTCCTCTTTATGATGTCAATGAACTAGCCTATGCTCAGTGCATATTTACCATGTTACAAGCAATTGTTTAAAAGAAAAATTGTTTCAAAAGAAAAAAAAAGCAGAATGGCTCTCAGCTAACCCTTTCAAGTAATATTTAAGTGCTAAATATGTATACCTCCACCAAGTATTTCAATGTTTTTAACATGTAATAAAAAAATGTAAGGGGAGGACCTGCAAGATGGCTCAGGGGATAAAGGTGCTTGTCACCAAGACTGACAACCAGGGTTCAATCTCGAGAACCCACATGGTAGAAAGAATCAACTCCTTCAAAGTTTCCTCTGACCTCCAAAAGTACACTGTCCACACATGCCCTATTACACATCAAATAGTGATTAAAAGATGTGTAACGATGATTGCTTATATTAGTCTTTGTAAAATGAAACACATAGTATTTCTAGAACTTTTCATGAGAAACATACAACCAACTTTTCTGACAATCTAGCAAATACATTAGTTATCAAATTGATTAAAATGTATTTGTAAGGGTCCTAGAATTAACACTAGGTCTTTCTGTTGGGTGGTAACGAATGTCCTTTGTCTATCTCAGCTTCTCTAAACATGTCCTCTTACCTTTGCAGCCCTCACAGCCTTGATCTTCAGCAGCAAATCCACAAAAGCCACCCGCACTTTCTCTGAGTTATCGTGGAGACTATACCTGAGTGGTGGCAAAAGCTGTTCTAATAATGGGTGGCTCAGTTTGTTGTCCAAAATAATTGGCAAACACTACAGAGAAGGGGGGAGAGGAGAAAGCATTTTAAATCAGAACACATCAATAAAACATTTAGGTAGGAAGCATCTAAGATGATGCTGAGTCACATTCTTGCCAGAAAACATCACCTTTATGAATGAAATGAATCAAAGGCATGCTTTGGGGCTAGTAAAATGGCTCGTAAGACACTCTGTAGAGGCAAAAGGAGGACTTTAATAGAGCTAGAATCCTATGCCCACCCCAAAACTAGCACTATGGCAACTAGCCAGTTTAGAAAAAAACAGTTTCTTTGAAACAGGGTCTCTAGGCAATTCAAATGACTTCAAACTCAGAATCCTCCTGCCTCAGCCTCCTGAGCGTTTCTGCTGTTATAGGTCCTGGCTACACACCTAGGTAGAAAATACTTTAAATTTGGATTTTAAAAGCTTAGTTTGCAGACTAATTAAAATCATATACTGTGCTTGCAGAGAACTCAAGTTCAGCTTCTAGCACCCAGGACAGGTATCTCACAACCACCTTTAACACCAGCTCCAGGAGAATCCAATGTCTCTGGCTCCTCTAGCAGAGGACCTTAGTCCAGTTCCCAGCACCTACATGAAGGCTCACAACCATCTGTAACTCTAGTTCCTTGAGACCCAACACTCTCTTCTGGGACCCATGGACACCAATTACACACATAACATATAGCCAAAGCACCCATACACATAAAATAATTTTAGTTTTAAAAATAAAATTCTACAAGAAAAATTTAAGTTTTGGTGTAGAAATACAACTATAGCATCAATAACATTTTCCCCCACTGATAAGATAATACGTAATTTTCAATTATTTTCCCCTTGTATTTCCTATAAAATCTTTATAGTTTTACAAAACTACTGTATAATAGAATGTTACTTTTACACCTTTAAAAACCCTACCTTAAAAACAGAACACCGAACATCAGCTGAGCTTATATCAAATGCCAGTTCCCCTGTGACTTTCTTCAAGAGGTCAACAAGAATGGTGGGGGGCATCATTTCCCAGTATTTAGAAGTTATTTTACAAACACCAAGAATGCCTGTGGAACGGACCCGTGGATAAGGATCTTCTAAAAGGTTCTAAAGGTAGGAGAGAAAAAAGGTGTACAACTTGTTTGTTTTACACATTAGTACTCTGGGAATTTAAAACTTAGTAACAGATCCAGTGCCTCTAGGTACTCTGAAAGAGACTAGTTCCAGGATGCCTCATCTGCAGCTGCTCATATAGAGCAACACAGCACCAGCCCACGCTTCCCACACAAGAGCTGCATGAGTAACTACTGTTCTCCTGTATTGTCTACGGACAAATGGCACGAAATAAAAGCTGCCTGTACATGTTCAATCAGGCACACTTTTGTTCTGAATACTTTCAGTCCGTATGATGTCACAGATGAAGACACTTGAAAAGACGGATGGATTTGCCAAAGTCACAAAGCTGTAACGCAGGAGTGGTAGAGACAAATCTGCAACGTGCTAACACATGTCTACTGGGAACAAGGCATGCAGAGCTATAATCCTGAAAACTACATAAGGATACATAATGGAATGTCTCAAGAGTGACTAAAAAGAGGAGGAAGCGATAGTGTGAATCTGCATCTGGGGACATGTGCAGAATGGGTACTCCTCTGTAGGGTAGCCCTGCTGGCCAACACTGACCCTGCAGCTAGCTGTAAGACATATAGGTTAGCAAGCAGTGAATGCCTTCCACAGCAATACGTACATAGAGTTCTTCAAACTGCTTCTGAATTTCACTGTCCATTTCAGTGGCAGTGAAGTTTGGATCTCTAACAGGAAATGCTTCAACAAACAACAATGCAGCATTTGCTCGAACTTCAGAATTTCTGGCCTATAGAATAAAAATATAAGTACTTTTAGAAGTTCAGAGTGTTCCCAAGCTAATACTTCCATAATTTCAGCAAAGATTTGTTTACAAATCAAAGACAATTTTGGGGGCTGGCAAGATGGTTCCGAGGCCAAGGGCACCTGAATTTAACAACCTGAGTTCAATTCCAGGAACACATGGTGGAGAAAACTGACTCCTACAGGCAGGACACACTCTGCCCTCCACATATGCTCCTACTTCCTAATAAATAAACAAATAAATTGTAATAAAAATAAAAAGATAATTTTAACCCTTAAGTTAGCAAAACCGGGTTGTGGATGGAACTTAGTGGCATAGTATACACTTCACATGTGTAGAGCCCTGGGCTCTGCCCTTGGCATCACAAAAGTAAATAGCCAACCTTTGTGAGATCATCCTTAAATTAAACCAAACTCTCAGTTCAGTGTCAACAGATATTAAAGACCAGTTTTCTCACTTCAAAGCTAGATTTGATTATAGTTTTTAATTTTTGGACTATAAAAAAAACAAAAAAGAGTATTCAGATTATTAAAAGATTATGAAGAGGTGGTTGCTGCCTTCTAATCAACCAGAGCTATTTGTGTAGACCTAGGTGTTCATCAGAATGCAAACCAGAGTGTCTGCCTTATAAGAACAGGCAGGTGGTGCAGCTGTCACTCTCCCCAGTCTGAGTTTGTGCATACCCGGGCCCAAGTCACCCTTTGGACTGATTTTCACAGTAACTGTTTACTTAGTACTGAACTGATCTGCCTTTATAGCTCAGTGGATCAAAGAAATGCTCTTCATAAAAATTAAAAACTGAGAGCCAGGAATGGTGCCACATACCTAGAGTCCCATCTACACATGAGACTGAGGCAGGAGGATCACTTGAGTCCAGGCCACTAGGATGGGCAACACAGTAACAGCACAGCTCAAAAACATAAGAAAATTTGTAATCATCTGAAAATTCCATAAAACACTGCCTCCAGTGTTTTAGCTGCCTTCTGAATTAGCACAGGATCAATTCAAAGCACATCCTGCACTAGGACACACCAGTAAGACGGTACCTTTAGTCCTCTCCACAGGATGGGCTTATATAACCTATAAAGCATCTCCTCCACTCCCTGACGGACTTTCTGTTGGTGAAAGTAACTCAGCACCTAAAAGCCAAAGAAAAAGAAAGGAAACAAAGGCTGTATAGTTATCTGTAAGGCATTTGAGCCAGATGTCGTAGTGTACTGCTCAGGAGGCTGGTGAGTTTGAAGTCAACCCAGGCTACATAAGAGTCTATCTCAAAACAAACACACACAAAAGCTCAGGAGCGAGAGGAAAAGGTCATTCTGCCCCATCCCACCGTTGTGACTCTTGCAACCTTCTCTGGCAAGATCTACAACAGATGCAAGACAACCTTGAATACGACAAATCAAAAAAAAAAAAAAAAAAAAAGAGAGAAATCATAGCCAAAATAACAATCAATGGCTCTGAATTCTAATACTACCTGGGTTCTAATGCCTATCATCCAGTGATACATGCCCGCTGTCACACGAACTGAGAAGCTGAGACAGAAGAAACCTAAACTCAGGAGCTCAAGACTATCCAGAATAACTCAACAAGACTCTATCTCAAAAAAATTAATATAAAAATTAAATTACTAGCCTACCGAGAGCCACATAACCTCCATAGAGCTCTGACGGTAATGGCAAATGGAAGCATGAACAGTTGAGGGGGGCTCAGGAACAAGACTTAGCCTGACTCATCATCCTGACCCAAATGGCTCTGTGAACCTACTATTGGCCCTGCTGCTTAACTCTTTACTGCCCAGTTAGGAATAGGTTTCAACTCTCTGCTGCCCACCAGGGACACGCTCTATCTTAAGACGTCATAAAGAACAGGCTGTTCCATACTCTTACAGCACTAGCTTAATTGAGATACCAGGCTCTTCCTAAAACTTATAATAAATTACAAATAGACCATCCATTTTCTTTGATAGTCAGAATTACCTCACAATTCTATATAAATGCTTGAATCCAGAAACGATCAATTTTGCCTTATTATTGGAATCCACTCCTCCAGAAATTTATTAGTGAAAACCGTGAATTAACTATACAGCATGGGCATGGTTTTCTGACGGAAGAGTGTGTTCTTTTTAAATTCTAGAAAATGTCTCATATTACACATCTTAGGCCATTCTCCAACTCATGATCCTCCCATTTCAGCCTCCAGATCCGTGAAGGTATAGAAAGACACCACTGCACTCAGCCTGACTGTTTCTTGTTATGAGTTTCATTGGTGGCCTAGTTTTTGTGTGTGCAGTATTACCATGTTTTGGTATAGTTGATGTTCTCACTTCACAGAAAGACTTTAAGCAGCTTAAAAGCGAAACACAATTCACTTGCCACAAAGTTAAAGCACACAGTCCTGGCTGGCTTAATGACGGCATACCATTTCTTTCCTCACCACAGAGCCAGAAACAGAACAAACTGCCAAGGCACCAAATATCAAGATTCTAAGAAATTCCTTTGACAGATGGGGTGAAATTATTAATTTTTAAATTTAGCAAAAACATTTATCCGCAAACAGAAAAGCTAAAATAGGATCTCAACAGTAACTGCTCATAATTGGTGGATCAGAGGTGTCTCCCTCACCTCTCGGACTTTGGAGTGCACTGGAGACCTCCTGGGAAGGTGGATGCCGTGGAACATGAAGTCCTGGATGCAGTAGTTTTCAATGGTCTGAAACAATAAGAGTAGGAACAAGCATCCATCACACAGGCAGTGAGACAGGCATGAATCCCCATACCGCAGCACCTAATCTGTTCCTCTTACTCAGAGAAAACCTCTGCTATTCTGTCAGAGCTACTATTTATCTATTCCTTTAGTTTCAATATACAAAGAGTACACTTAGCTACTACTTTACCTGATGGAACAGTGAATCTGAGCAATGTAGCAAGATAAGTTCTCCACAATCATTAGAAAACAACTAACATCAGACAAAATACAGACACTGGGAAAAAGAAGTGTACATGAGCCAGAGATCTCAAAAAAAAATATACTGTCCTGGGAACATCACAAGCTTCAACCTGCTTCTTGAAAGAACCTCTCCACAAACCGCAGTGGAGCTACCTCTACAGTAGAGGTCAGAACTCCAGAGACTGACAGGAAACTTTCTGGGGTACCTCTGACCAGTGCTAGGGAAGAAGTGTGTGAGAGACTCCTTGACAACTCACAATGAAAAAAAGCCACAGGGAAAAACACAAGAAAAGCTAGGCCCAACCGACTATGTTACCCTACACTCCAGGGTGCAAGGACCCCACAGCTTTAGGCAAAGACATAAATATTGCTATCAATATCATCTTGAAAATGTACCTTCCTTGAAGTTCATGATAACTCTCTGAATGTGGGGTAACACCCTATCTGACAAATGATGAGACAGGAGCTGTGCCATATGTCCTGGAAGTTACAAAAAGACAAACTGGAACGAAACCAGAACTATTAGAATATGACATTCCCTTCTACAGGTGCCTCCAAAACTTTAATGGCATAGACTTAAAGAGGAAAGCAATAAGCACTGCCAGGAGTCCAGCTTTGTGTATCCTGATCAAAAGGCACTTGCAGCCAAGACAGATAACCTGAGTACTGACTCCTGAGAGCTGTCCTCTGATCTCCACTTCTACCACAGCACACATGCATACAAACATAAAACAAAAATAATGTAAAAAAGAATATATACATCTATGTTTTAATTTAATATATATGCATATATACATATGAATGAATTAAAAGCTAGGCACAATGAAACAAACCAGTAATTTTAGTACTTAGAAGGCTGAAGCAAGAGGACCATGACTTCAAGACCAGCCTAAACTCAAAAAAAAAAAAAAAAAAGGGAGGTAGCGGAACTGGAGAAATGGTTCAGTAGCTAAGAGTAAGTAATGCTCTGCTCTTCCAGAGCACTCAAGTTCAATTCCCAGCACACGTGTTGTAAGGCAGCTCACAACTTTCTGTAACTTTAGCTCCAGGGGATTAAATGTCTCTGGCCTCCACAGGCCTGAAACTCAATGTAAATAAACTACACAGAAACCCTTGCACAGAAAGATAATTAAAATAACAAAATACATCATTTAAAAAAAAAAACCAAGCAAATAAAATAATGAAGAATAATGCCCTGACTCTGACCTTTTGTTAAAAAAAGACTACTCACATTTAAACTAGTTTATTAAAATTGTTCAAAGGGGAATTCAGTGACTTTTGATCTCTAGATGTGAAAGAAATGACAAATATTAGCAAGAAAGACCAAGTATAAGCAGGCATAAAGGCAGTGTGGACAGACCCACACTAGTCACCTTGTGGAAGTCTTCCGGCCTGCACTAGTCACTGTCAGTTCTCCAAAGAGAAGAGTTGCAGAGAAGAATACTTCTGGATCTAAGAGTAAAAGTTCTAGTCTTTGAAAATGTAGAACGAAGAAACAGACAGTGGCATGACACACAGCTGATGGGTCTCCGGATGTTTAATGCAGACTGTGAATGAGAAAGCTAGATCTCCCCAACATACGCAGTGCATTTGGGAAGGACTAACTATGCTCACAGTGAATGGTACAGACATCTTAAGATAACATAATGATAGAGGCTCTAGCGGGGTCTCAACAGCACCATCCATGGAAAGAGAACCCAAACACAAACGCAGCTTTTCACTTTCAAGGACACAGAATAAAAAAAACAAAGAAACTGGTCCAGTTACTTAACAGTACATTTTGTTTAGCCCAGTACATCCACCTTGCAGTGCATCTCCCTTTGACTAGCCACATCCCAGCAACCCAATCACCAGAGGGAACTAGACAGTCCAGACCCAGGGACAGCAGAATAAGGAACACAGAACCACTGACTTCTCTGAAACTGCACATCCCAGCAAGATGACAGCTGAGGCTGTGCCTCAACACGTGGGCCACAGTGACTCAGGGTGTCATACTTCTATCAGCATGATCAGGCACTAGTTTTAACTAGCCCACCCTTGGATACTTAAGTAACTAGAATACAGTAGATGTTAAATAAAAGGAAAATACCTCCAACATTTTCCCCGAAGCCTTTTTCCAAGCTCTGAAATAGATTTCTGCAATGTGTACCATCAAAGACCTATTTTTAAAAACAGATGTTAATACATGTTTAAATAATTTTACTATATACAACACTTCAGTATGGTATATGGTACATATATAGTATGGTATACGGTACCATACTGGCTCAGGAAGAGGAAACTGATATAGGATATGGTTCTGTAAGCTATCTGCAATATTACCTACTTGAAATGGAAAGAGGAAGAGACAAAACTGGGGAGTGGAGGCTTGAATAAAAACTCCTCCTCAGTCAATGTTACCCTAACTCTGACAACATAGGCCCAGAATTAAATTCTACAGTCAAATTATTTTAAATATGGACTGGTGAGGTAGCTTATTTGGTAAAGGCACTCGCTACCAAGCCCAGTGACCTGTCAATGCCTAAAATCTGATTGGTGGGAAGAGGGAACTAACTCTTACAAGTTATCCTCTCACCTCCACATGTGCACTATGGCATACCCACACCCACATCCACGTCCCCCCAACACACATGTGCACTATGGCATACCCACACCTATGGCCCTCAAACACACATATGCACTATGGTATACACACACTCAAACCCCCTAAACACACATGTGCACTACACCCACACCTACATCTCCCCAAAATACAAACAAATAAGCTTAAAAGCCATTAAAAGCACTTTAAATACTAATTCTTTACATATAGGAAAAGTTACATAGGATTCAACTTTAAAATCATCTATGTTTAGAAATTAGTCAGCACAAACATCTTACAAAGGAAGCGTGAGGAAGCAATCTAGAATATACCAAGAGCTCTGCATTCAAACTAGAACCAAATCCCCACTCAGTGCTTACACAGCTATCTGACACTAAGGGCTTTAGTAACTGAAGCCTACCTCAGCAGTAAGGAATGATGCTCAAAACAGAAAGCACCTAAGCAAATGTGTACATTTTGCATGGCAGTCTAACTTCATACCTGTGGTTCTTCCTACTTATACCACAGGGCTCCTCACCGCAACCACACAGTTCAGCCCACACTCAATCAGACAGTGTACCCTATATGCAAAATGTTCCATGAATGCTAATGGCATGAGCTTTGTTATAAGACAAAGCAGTAACCATCAAATATCTAAAAAACCACCACTGCACGCATACGCACTCACACACACAGACACACACAGACACACACAGACAAACTTTTAAAACAAGCCAAGAGAACCTTTCAAAATCAGACTTCCAATACTTACTTTTGTAATCCAGATAACTGATTTTTAATGGTCTCATGGATCATTTTAATAAAGTCTATATTCCAACTAAAGAGAAAACTAAGAAATCTTCTTCCCTGTAAATGAAAAAAAAAATGAGAATAAGCTGGGCACGGTGGCACACATGCCACCATGGTAATCTGAGCTCCTTGGGAGGCTGAGACAGAATATGACAAGATCAAGGTCAGCCTGGCCACACAAACATCATCTCAAATAATAAATAAATAAACTACAACTAAATGAAACTGTTCTAATACAAACAAGTATTTGTTTAATACATCCAAAGTCAGCTAGTTATAAAAATGAAGCCCACATCACTGTCACTTGGCAAGTTTGCACAGGGGTTGAACTGGGAAGTGTTGCAGTGGCGCTCCTAACAGCAGAGACCTGTGGGCCTACAGACATTCCGCCCTTGGGTAGAGCAGTAGCTGCACTGAGCATCTGTCTTCAAGGGGCTCAGAGACAGAGCCATACAGAGTTCCACCACAGGTCCATAAACATCTCAATCTAGCTATTATGGATAGTGGATGATGTAAAACCAAAGAATGCCTGAAATCTTTGTTTGACCCCATCATAAAACTCTTTATTCTCATCAATTTCCTAACAATCCCAGAGATGAAGGTGCAAGCCTTGTGCTTGTCATCTTTTCAGTAACAGTGGTAACCATTACAGGAGGAAAGCAGCCCTCTCCACACGAATCCTGCACCACTGACTGATGCTGGTGCTTCACTCAAGCCATGCCATGTGCTCCTCCCAAAAGTCTGAAAGAACACCTGCTGCTCTGGCTCTGGAAGACACACTGAGGTTCCAGAATATGTGCCCTTCACACAGTAGGCAGGGTTAGAGGCAGACTTTTCTAGTGGAGCCAAAGAACTTGGTGCTAATCACATATGCCCTACAGGCTGGGGACTAGGAGCTACCATGGGACCAGACTTTCTACTAAGGATGTGCTCCATAAGGGCCATCCAAATCGAATTGATGTGGACTAAGTTCACAGACCTTTTTTTCCCCCCTGAGTCACAGTTTCTTTGTATAACAGCCCTAGCTGTCCTGGAACTCACTTTCTAGGCCAGGCTAGCCCCTTGAGTGCTGAGATTAAAGGCATGTGCCACCATGCCCAACTTAGTACAAGCTCTTAATGGCTATGTTGACCTTTCCCCACAAAACAGCACAGTATAAACAACAGCCACATGAATTTAAGGAAAGCATCATTAATATCCCACCAACGAACTAAAAAAACAAAACAAAACAAAAAAAAAAGCAAAGAAATAAACAAAAAAACCTTACTGAAGTGACGATTCTGGAATTTTGGTTTAAAAAACAAATGTATCATAAGAATATGTTTTTGTTTTAATCCCAGGTGTTGTGATATGGGGCTGCTTCCAACTGTCCAAAGCCACTATAATTAATTCGCCTCAGGCTCTAACAGAGGCGTGGTTTTGCCAGCTGCAGGCAGTGTCTGCAATTGTGGGACAGTTGGAATTCTGGCAACATTTTAGAGGGTATAGAAATGTGTGTTGGGATGGCTGGTGGTCATCCAGGGGGGTTGGTTGCAGTTTGCTAGTAGTCTAGTAGAAGAAACTAGATTCAGGGATCTCTAGCTCGCTCTCCCCCTCTCTATACTTCCTTCTTTCCTATCTAGTGATAAAAACGTGGGGAAAAGAAAACTACACAAATTAGCAAACAGCAGCTATAACTTACCTTTTCCTTCTTGATGTAATTAACATTTATGAAGCACTCAAGTAGCATATCTTTAATGTCTCTACTTTCCTCCAACTCATAATCAAAGCAGCACAAAGCCTGGTGGATGCCCCACAGCCGACACAGATCCGCGCCCTGTGAAGTAAGTGACAGAGAGCCACACAGCAGACAGCAATGCACTACTCGCTTCAGTAACTTTCTTTTCCTTTATAAAAAGAACATAAAGCTGTATTTCAAGCTAAGTATCTATTCTATATCATGAAAAATCAAAAATTAGGACATAGTGACAAGTGAAAATAGGGGTGTGTCCCAGCACTCAGGAGGCGGAGGATTTTTATGAGTTTGAGGCCAGCCTGGTTTACAGAGCTAGCTCCAGAATAGCCAAGGCTATACAAAGAAACCCTGTCTCGAAAAACAAAAACAAACGAACAACAAAAAGCAGATCTGCAAATGCTCTGTGTAGTTCTACAGAACACTTTGAACTGTGTTTTGTTCTGTTGTTTTAAATAGGACCTCATGAAGTCCACGTCAGCCTCCAACTTCCAACTTATTTTTCTTTGGCTCAGCTACAATTTCCATAGGACTTCATAGTAATGTGAAGTAATTCCCTTAAGAATTCTAGTCATGCCAGCCTTTTATCCAGGATACTCTCTGACTACTGCTCAGTCCTGCTCTAGAGTATGTATATCCCTCCAAGGACCACAGGGGCACAGGTATCTCCTCCTGCCCTCCACTCCGTAACTCAAAAAAACACACTGGCACAGCTTAGTCTGAGAAAGTCTGGCCTTTCCTGCAGCCCTGCCTCTTTTCCATTGCAGAAGGAGGATCAAGACATATAGGTAGAGTAACTGCCTTTTCACTATGAAGTGACAAAGAGGACAGTAGCTACACCCTGAGGAAGAAAACGCCCAACTTTCAATCTCAGTCTGGACTGTGCTCCCACCTTTGACCTCTATACATCACTGTAAGAAACTCACCTAAACTGGGAAGCTGTAGAATCCAACCCCTTTCTATCTAACCCACCCTTACGAAGGACATCGGGAGGAAAGGAAACATACTGTTTTGGTCTCCAGACTCCTCCTCAGCAGCATGACAAATGCAGTCTTTCCCATATCCTCCTTGGCAGGAAGGCCCCTTTCCCACCATTTGACACACAGATCCTGAATAGAGTTCTGGAGTTTCTGTTCAGATTCAGGTAATGCATATAAAATACCTAAAACACAGCACAAATGTTTTCTGTCATTTAGCAACTTATTACCAATGCAGACTTAAAAGTACAGAGTACTGGGGCTAGAGAGATGGCTCAGCAGCTAAGAGCACTGGATGCTCTTCCAGAGTTCCTGAGTTCAATCCCTAGCAACCACATGGTGGCTCAAAACCATCTGTAATGTGATCTGACTCCTTGTTCTGGCATGCAGGTGTACATGCAGATAGAGGACTCATACACACAAAATAAATAAATCTTTTTTAAAAAGTTCAGAGTACTATGACTTGGTACAAGGACTAGCTAAGCAAATATTAGTTTAATTTGTCAAATAAACATCATTTATGGAATGCCAATACTTAGCCAGAGGGAAAAAAAGATTTACAAGTGTTATAAAAACAGATACAACAAAATAGAAAACAGAGAACTTTAGACCTGGAAGCTTCACACTAATACATCTTGAGATCACTACAACTCCACCCCCACCGGGACAGGGTCTGACCGTCAGTCCACTACAAGCTCAGTGTGGTGGCCTTAGGTCTAGGCTCAAAGGTGAAAAACAATCAAAGCAAATAACATAATGAATATAAAAACTATTGCTTTTAGAAACATAAATAAAGCTCAATAAAGGCTTAATAATTCGTTAGTAATTACCCACAGGTGCCCGAGTATTGTTATACACATATAAAGCTCCTGAAGTAATTTTGAGTCTGGAAGCAACTACAATGACAGCACTCATTTTACCAAATATTTGGAGACTAAACTGGTAGTAAAATCCACAAAGCAAACAAATTTCTATACTGCCTGGGGTAACTTAACATAATAATAATAAAAAAAGATACTATCAACATGGGGAATGACAAAGAAAAAGGGTTGGAGGGAGAGTAGCTGGAATGGACTAGATTTAAGACATACTAAAATTATAAAATATTTTAAAAGAAAAAAAAATAAGCTAATTTCAAGAAATCAGACTTAAGCAACATCCTAAAGACATAAAGAAACCCAAGTGATGTTAAGTCTGAGAACTTGAGAATGTGCCCCAGGAAACAATACCCAAACAAAGTATTCATAAGACAGTTCTATAAAATCCTTAAAATTGCTTTTATATCTATAAAATAACTTTGTGTAAATACTTTATTACCAGGTTTTTCATTATTTCAGGTGAGAATGAATACCTGCTTAATAAATAGCTTTACGGGCTTAAAAATAAGAAGAACTATGGGAATCAACAACTCCAGAGACCATGGTCATCCTTAAGAAGAAATTCAGCGACAGATTCTTGGGCTCTGTGGTAACAGCACAAACTGAGAAATCTGAAGTCAGAGATGTCCCTTCAAACAAGCACTTGTATTAGTCCTGTGAGTCCAGGTATATTGTCCTGAAGTAACAGCAGTCAGCAGCCAGAACCCGCATCATTCTCTACAACACTGGGACAGAGGCTAGCTAACTCACGGTGCCCTGGAGAACTTGACTGCAAAGACATGCCTTTAAATTCTTGTTTCAGGTTGCCGCACTCCTCGTGAACACAGGTGACTTCCCTTTAAAAGGTGCCATGCTAGTGTAGTGCCCACTACTGATTCTGCCACTTACCATTCAATATAACCGCACACTCCAGGAGGGCTCCATAGTTCTCATGCTCGTTTATTATAGATACAGAAGCAAGAATTACAGTCACAATTGCGTGTGTTATTTCTATGCTCTTTTTCTAAAAATAGAACATTAAAACGTAAGTGAGTTAAATAAAATGAGCAACTTGTAACACTCAACTTATTTTTAAAAAAATATCAAATAGCTACTACATTTCAAAAATGGAGTCACTTGTAGCTTTTCATCATTCTTTTTTTTTTTTGGTTTTTTGAGACAGGGTTTCTCTGTGTAGCCCTGTCTGTCCTAGAACTCACTCTGTAGACCAGGCTGGCCTCAAACTCAGATATCCTCCTGTCTCTGCCTCCCAAGTGCTGGGATTAAAGGCGTGTGCCACCACTGGCCGGCGACTTGTAGCTTTTCTAAAAGGTAGATTAAAACTGAAAATAAGTGTCCTAAAAGAATCATAACACTGAGCAGTAGAACAGCAATAGCAGGACCAGGTAGCAGGAAAAATCACAATGAACAGAACTTCAGGACTGGCATATTGCATTTTCTTAACTTCAAAGTTCACCTATTGAGCTGGGCATGGTGGTGCACACCTTTAATCCCAGTGCTGAAGAAGCTGAGGCAGGTGATCTCTCTGAGTCTGAGGCCAGCCGGGTACGCATGTGAGTTCCAGGCCAGTCAGGACTAATAGTAAGACACTGTCTCAAAAAGAGAGTTCAGTTATTCAAATAAACAATCTTTTCTTAACACAGTAAAGAGGAATGCTTTTATTTCTGAAAGACAAATACCATCTTTGGAATGTGCTCTGATTCCATAGCGTCTGCACCCTGGACTTGCACTGTCTGCCACACATCCACAGGGCTTTCCAGCAATGTTTCTGTTAGTAAGTCCTTCAGCCTTTGCCATAATTCTTCTTTCTGTTTCCTTGATAATTCATCTAGTAACTCACTTAAGCTGAAAGGATCAGAAGGATCTTTCTGTAAAATAGATTTTTTAAAAATACACAAAATATGAAAAATTAGTTGTATTCTTTTCATACTGATATTAACAGAAAAGATTAAGAAAAGATTAGTGATGTGTTTAAGCATTTGGCTAGTTTTTTCAAAATTCTTTCCTAATAGGGAAAAAATATAGAATTACCAAATAGAAAGCATCAAATCTCTCCTCCACTTCTTAAGACTGGAGAGTTAAAGTTTAAAATTTCACCTACTTAAAATTCCTAAAATCAATTCGAATGTCCACCATCCCCAGACCTGTCATCAAGTACAAACATGCTGGAGGTAAATGACAGGAAGGCTCAGATTCTCTTCCTTCCAGTTCTATGTCCTACCAGCAGACCCTCCTCAGCCCTCGACAGCACCCTTTCCCTGAACCACTGAGTCCTTCTCCACACCTCTGGCTTACTGGACTCTCTTCTCACTTTGGCCAGACTGACACCTCTCTGAGAGAGTACGAACAGGTGAACAGGTAGCATCAAACGTATGAAACCCAATCAAAAGGACTTTCCAGCAGCTGCTCTAGAACTGAGGCACAAGTATAGTGACAATAATAAAGCCTATGGAATAAATTAGTATCAATGAGGTTATAAATTAATAAAAACCAAATCATTCATTAACGACACTGACATGCTGTAGGGCACCAATAAATAAAACTAAAGAAATATAGAGTTCACAAAAGACAATGTGATAGCCATCACAGTAACAGACACTGCTAAGAACTATCCACAGATACTAAAACAAACAGGAACAAGTGTGCCGAGAGGCAGGTCATCCACAGCCATGTGTTTCCTCAGAAAGCCCATAGTTATAAAGGGAAAGCAGAAAGCTACCAGGATAGACCACGAACATCCACTCATTCACCCACCAAACGACCTCCCTATAACAATGCTATCCAGAAAGGCCCTGACACTTCCAAGCAACTCCTTCTGAAAGGAGACGCGAGATCTGACTGGATTGACTAATAGAAAAAAAGAATACAAAAAGAGCCACCCACACCTACAAGCCTTCAGTGCTATGACAAGCACAGGAAGGCAGAGCTGCCTCCTACAATCCCAGATTAAAGAGCACTTAAGAGAGATGTGACAGCTAGAGGCAGAGTCTGACACTGGGCTGGATCGTGGATCAGGAAAAGCATGGCATTATTGTGACAACTGTTCAAACATAAATATGTATTGTAAATAGTGCTTGAATAGTTTCATGTCTTAAGGATCTTCATGTAGTTATATACAATGGAATTTCAATCACTTGTAAAGAAAAATAAAATTTGAAGGAAAATTAATAGCCCTACAGAGTACTGCATTGACTAAGGTAACCCAGATTCATCAAAAAATTACCTGTACTTTCTCATACGCAGAGCCCAAGTTTTAATACTTCCAAGTACTATGTCCATAAGTGGGTGTAAAAGTGGGTATAGGTTACTGACGTTTATAAAAGGCCCTGAGGGGCAAACAGTGGTGCTGGGGTAAGGGAGAGCACGGGAAAAGTACACACATGACATACAAACAGAAAGGAAGATACTATACAGAAGCAGATGGAAGGGGGCAGGAGACAGGAAAGAGTGTGGAGAAAAATCAAAACAACAACAATAGCAAAAAACTAACCTAAAAAAATACCACAATGGAACCTAATCGCAAGTTCAAGTTTCAAGAATGTACAGGGCTGTGGAAATAGCTCAAATGGTTAAGTCCTATTGAAGATACACGTTTGGATCAACACGGCAACCTGACTCTATAATTCCTGCTTTTTGAGGTAGGTGACAAGAGATAAAGAGAATTTCTGTCTAGAAGATCTTGGGCCACCTACAAGAGCTTCCATGGCAAAGTTCCAGACTGAGATATCCTGTCTCAAACAAAAGATGGAAGGCATCTGAAGACCTACACCTGAGACCATTGTCTGACCTCCACATGTGCACCCCATGTTAAATAAACATACACACAAGTTCAAGCATACAAAAGAAGAATTCAAAGTGTACTTAGCAAAACTCTTTATCCTAGACTCATTCCTTATTTTGGAATCATTTAAGACAGATATAGGCATGTGACTCCATCAGGGTGTATTTTTCTAAAACAAAGATATATTTTCTTTAAAAACAAAAATCATTAGCTCCACCGCTCTGTGGGTCACAGCTCCCCCGCCTCCCACTGTGCTGCACTCTGGACTCCCACTAATGCTCCACATGCCTGTGAGGCTAGTTTGTCCTTTTCTTCTCTTTTCTGCTCTATTGTTCTTTCCCCTTCCCCACAAGAATGGCAGAGGCTGTGTAAGCTGGCCATCTACTTCTAACTATAAACTTTCAATCTTTCTCCAAGGAAAGCATCATAATTATCATATGTGATGATTTGTATATGCTTGGCCCAGGAGTGACACAATTAGAGAGTGTGGCCCTGTACCAATACGTTTTATAGTGGGAGTGGGCTTTAATACCCTCACCCTAGCTGCCTAGTATATTCTGCTAGCATCTTTCAGATGAAGATGTAGAACTCTCAGCTCCTCCTGCACCATGCCTTCCTGGACGCTGCCATGTTCCTGCCTTGATGATACTGAACTGAATCTCTGAACCGATAAGCCAGCCCCAATCAAATGTTGTCCTTTTAAGAGTTGCCTTGGTCATGGTGTCTGTTCACAGCAGTAAAACCCGAACTAAGACACCATAGCACTTGTTGTTAGTGACTTAATGTGTGTTACTGTGTTCTGTTAGGTCCTATCTTTAATTCATCATAGGCAAAATGTTTTAGTATTGTACCTCTAGACCCATCTTCAATAACCTGTGGATTATTTACTTGAGACAGTCTTTCTTTTTAGCCCAGACTGACTTCGAACCCAACAAGCCTCAATTCATGATCCTTCTGCCTCAGTATTCTGAGTGCTGTAATTGCTGGTATAGACCATCATGCCCATCATTCTAGTTTTTATCACCTGTGCTGCAAGGTGGTGGTTGTTAGCAATGCACATGTCAGAACTCAGTGATTCACTAAGCTGGAGAGACTCACCCAACAGGCCTCAAACTGATGTGCAACTTTTCCTTAGTGCCTATCAGGTTAAAGTACTGAAACTGCCATTACAGAAAATGGCATTACATAACATTCAATTTGATGAAGCTAAGCAATGTACGATTCTAATACAGATACATAAATTTATAGTTTTACAAGGTTCATGGTGACTAGTTACATTAAATTATTAAGTATAAACAAAGCTCACTAATGCTAGACTAAAAAGGACTAATAAATATTTCACCAAGATACCTGCTAGCTGCCAAGCAATACCATCGAGACTCAACACTAACAAGCTGCTAGTATGAAGGGACTTCAAAAAGATGCATCCGCAATAGGCCACTAATGTCCCTTGAGTCACTACACTTGTCTTTCCATTTTTGTGTATGTACAGCTGTGCACTTCTACGAGACCGGAGTTGATGCTGGATGTCAGGATCTCTCAATGAACCTAGTACTGACTGGACAGATTACTGTCTAGCAAGCTCTAGAAATCCTCCTGTCTCCACCTCCCAGTGCTGAGATTATAGGCATGCCAATGGGACCTGGCTTTTTACGAAGGTGACTCTCAGGCTTGGGTGGCAAGCACTTTACAAACTGATTCCCCAGCTCTCTGCTTGTCTTTTTACATTATTAACTTACTTTACTACCGGCTCAGGTCATTTTAGTTTTAGTTAATCTGTGACATGTGACTCGAAACAACATCCTTGGGGCATCAAATACGGATGAATTACATTTCTAACATAAACCTTCTGTTTGTCTTCTGTTCTAGACACACTCCTACTAAAGCAGACAATTATACAGTTATAACTTATGTTTTACTCCTATAGACACTACTATGGCATGACCTAAGGTCATGTTATAAGCTCATTTGTCTTATGAAGAAAAGTAGTTTCATAAATGTTGCCAGCAATAAATTCATAAATAGATCCTTCCCTAACCTTGTGCCTTTTGATTTTCACTCTATAATCTTAATCAAAATAGGTTGGGCATGTTGGCTCAGGCCTCCTGCACAAAGGGCCAACTCTCGGGGCACTGGTGCAGAGCTCCACTGGGCTCCACGGGGCTCCACTCTAGTTCCCGCCACTGTGCACTCCCACATACTCCCAGAACAGAAGCCCCCACCCACAGCTAATAGCACTTTTCTATCTCTTGCCTAAACTGCTCTGACCTTCAAATATGCTGTCAATTTGTCTCGTGGCCACCACCCTGGACATGCCGTATTAACGGTCATCTGTTCCCCACAGATGAGCTGTCCCTCACTATTATATCCAACCAAACTGCACCACTATCCCTGAAGTTGAAGGCTTCCAACTTCCACCTAAATCCCGTGCCAGTGATAAGCAGGACTGTACTCTCCACCTCCCTGGCTTGGCCCCTCCACGTGCTCTGCACATGCAGGCAGACAAGCATTCCCAGAGGCAAATCTTTCTTCCGTCTTCTCATTGTCTTCTGGTCTAGCTTCCCCTCCACTCTGGCTCCTCTGTCTACTGGCCATTCTCTGCCCACTGGACAAACTCTGAACTTCCTAAAAGTTCTGCAGTCACTTGGATCACAAATGTTCTCTACAGACTCTGGTATTTGAACATTTGGTTCCCAGTTGGTGTAGCTATTTGGGGAGGTTTAAGTGCTAGGGCCTCCATGTTTGTTATGTGCATGCTTGCAGTTGACAATGTGAGCTCTCAGCTCCCTGCTCCCACTAGCAGGCCTCCCATGAAGGGCTCAGTCCTCTGGAAACATAAGCCAACACTAAGGTCTTTTGTAAATTGCTTTTGGTCACGGTAACTCAGCTTCCCATTTTCCCTGCCTTTTGATTTTTGTACTCTGGCCCTGCCAAAACTCTTCAGGTTAAAACCCAGCCAGCCTTCTCCAAGCCTTAGGCAGCCCCTTCAGCTGCATGGGCTCTTCGGATAACTTCTGTTTATCTTCTACTTTTTAAATCAGCCCCAAAGTGGGTCCATTTAATTCTAAAGAATTTACCTATCTTTTTTAAAAATAAACATTCACTGAGAGAACCGTATTTCATGTGATAACACGATTTTAGAATATTATTTATATCTAGAGTCAAACTACAAGAAAAGTAAAACACATAACTTACATCAAACTGAAGAAACTGCAGAAACTCTTCAACCAACTTCTTAGATACTGCTTGGATGAACGCCTCGCGTTTTTCCATGGCGGATGTGACTGTTCTAAGGGAGCTTGCCTTACAACCCTGGTAGGATACAATCAGGCCAAAATGTAAACGTGCAAAATTTCCTGTAAGTTTTAATAGAAACATTCAAGAAATTTTATACCACTAAAGAAGACAGTTAATAACAACATTCTGACACAAAATTGCAATAATCTGAAAAAAAAATCTGATGCTATAAACAAAATATCTATGTTATCACCAACTGTCAATGAAACTACAATGAAAGGAACAAGAAATTAAAACAGCCTCAGGAATCTTACTTTCTCTTCCTTTTAGTCTTTTGGATGCTGGCTTGGGAAGACTCAACTTCTGCAATAGGGTCAGGCTGATCTCCACAGCTGAATTCTGCAGACTCCACATCTAAAGTGCCATTCCTCCAAGAAGATCCCACCCAACAATCCTCCCTTGTTTTTCAAGTGAGAGACTTGGAAGGAAAACCACAACAACAACCCTGAGGTCACCTGGGAGCTTGTTAGACAGTGCATCTGTGCCCCACTTCAGTACCCTCCCCTCTTCCACACACCTACAGGATAACGAGACCTCAAGGGACCTTGCTCCTTCCAGACATGTCATCTCCCAGGAAATCCTATTTTACCTTTACACCTGGTACTACGGTGGCATATTCAAAACAAAAAACGAACAATACAGTTACAACAAATGATATTTGCCAACGGGTATTCTCATTTTAAAAATAAATTTGAAAATACCCTATACCGTTAAAAAAAATACAGCAATGTGGAGAATTACTGACATTAATTATGAAGACCGTGAATCACAATAAAAGTAGAAAATAACCTCAATTTGACAACTCCTCACATTAGTAAATGTTAAACACAGCTATGTTGTTTCCCAACCCAAATGGCTGAATTGGGAACCATAACTTTTTTGTGATGAATAAAATGGAGAAAGGAAAGGCGGGTGACCAGTATCAACACTTTGCTAATTACAGTCACTTTGCTTACTTAGGTGCATGCCTTTGGCAACCTGTTATGCCAGATAATGTCTACATCTGCACGACTTGCAGACTGTGACTCCATACCTTGATTTGTCTCTTTCATTAGTTCAAAACTAAGATTGCTCCCTAGATCAGTCCTAGGTGTAGGTTCGGGTTCCTCCCTATGTCAATCCAAGAATAAATCCAGCCGTCTTCACTACCTCAGGCCCCAATTAAGTGTCAGTACCGATGTCCTCCCTAGTCAGCACCCCAGCCCCGTGCCAGGATCTTCCATGTCATTCTGTGTTCAGGGCTGAGGCTCTCCCGATGTCAGTTTCAAATTCAGGGCTGGGGTTCTCCCTAGTCAACCCGGGTGCAGGTCTTTGGTCCTACCTACTCACCCTGGCGCCTTGTCAGACCCGGGTCTGCGTCTCCAGTCCTCCCTAGTCTGAGAGGCTCCCTAGTGAGCCCAGATCCTGTTCTGGAGTCCTCTCCAGTCATACTCGGGCCCTCTTCCGGGGTCGTCCTAGTATGAGGTCCTACTTGGTGAACCCGGGTTCGAGGCTGAGATCTTCCCTAGCGAGCCCCGCGTCTCGATCCTTCCTAATCAGCCGGGGTCCCTCTCTGCCCTCCCGCAGCACCTCCCACTCCACAAGCTCCAGAGAGCGATGGCGGCCGCGGACAAGAGACCCGCGACGGTGTCCGTCGCCCAGCCGCGGTCCCTCGCCGCCCGGTCTTGCTCACATCCCACTCAACTCACCGCGCAGCGCTCAGCTCACCGCAGACCCATAGTTTCCCGCGCTCGGACCAGATTCAAACACACCCGCGCCTACTCCCGACGCGCCAGCCCTCCACCCGTCACCAGTCGCCGCTCTCACGAGATCTGACGCGACCCGGGCCACGCCCACATCCGACGTCTCTGCGGCCCGGCTCCGCCCCCAAGGTCCAAGCACCGCCTCCTGGGCGCGACTCAGAACTTCCAGCGGGAGTCTCTCAAGCGAAACTACAGAATGCGCGTGCGCAGAGCTGCTGGCCGTGTTTCCCGCCCTTCGTCCCCTACCCCGCCCGCCACATCACCCCCATACTACACACACACACCTTCCGTGGGAGTACTGCGGTTGCTTCTGTGTTCCTTACCCGCTGCTCGGTGAGAGATCGCGCAGCAGACGGAGGAGGGAGAGCAAGCAGAGGAGACAAGAAATAGACCGTAAGAGAGGAAGGAAGGAGATGGTGCTAGGAGAAAGAAAAAGGGACGCTGAGGAGAAAATGGGGAGGCAGGAGGAGTGGAGGGGAAGAAAACCAAATGAGGCTGAGTGAAAGGGAAGGACCAGCGGAGAGGAGGAAGTCTGGGGCGTGGTGGCAGAGGACCCAGAGGACCAAGGAGGACGGAGGAGTATGATGTCAAGGCACCCCAAGGAAGAGGCTGGGCCTTCATTTCAGAAGGCACCAAAGGTAGAGCGTAGAGTTCCCAACTTCAGCAAGTCACACATCTCTGGAGCCTTTTTTATACCATAAAACAGATTGGGGGTGGGGGGAATCTAAGGAAGATGGCAACCCCAGCCTTGCCTTTCCCGGGATTCAACAGGACATAGTGCTCGGCTCCATAGCTAGGAAACTGACTGATCCTATGTCCGAATTCACTCATGGCCTTTCCTGTTTGTGGTTTCCTGCCCGTGGAAACCAAAGCCAGCCCTCCAACCCATATTTCTCTCCCCAGCTTGTGGCCTCCTCCCACCACCCAGCTAGCCACTCTCTCCATCAGCCAATCCCCATTCCCTGTCAGCTTTTCTCCAAACGTAGTTACTGTTATCAAGTTCTTGCAAAGTCCACTCAGAAATGTTTCCTGCACTTTATGCTCAAAATGTCTATAATGAGTTTTGGGGCCTGGATTGACTTTAAAGAACTTAGATGATACCCTAGGGGAAGCCAGCGACAAGATGCCTATTGACTACAAAAGAAAATACAGCCGTAAACTTGTATTTAACTTGATATAGCAGAAGCATAGTCTCAACAGTATAAACTGATAGTGGGGAGAGGATACTGATCAGTTAGGAAATTTGATGTAGTTAGAGCCACAGAGGCAGGGTCCACCCACCCACAGCAAGCTACCATTTGTACCACTTACCTGCTTCTTCATACTGGAGCTCCTTAATCTCTGACCACCTCCCTCTCCACAGTCCCTCTACAGCCCCTTGAATTTGGATACCCCACCTCACCACTCTCACGGTTTCATCTACAAACAGTGTGAACAACCAGCCTCAAGCTGGAGCCCCACATGGACTTGACATGAACTGTTTTGAGCTTCCTGCCATTCTCCTTGTGGTTTGACTCATGTCCAAAAGAAATCAGTTTCCCCCTGCCCTGCTCCCCTTCTTCACTCACTTTCCCATTCCTGACTGGTACGATTCCTGTTAAGAAACAGATATTGAGTCTAGCAGCGAGTTCTGAAAACTCAGAGCTGGGCACCTAGACAGGCCTGTAACAACTCTGTGCTTCCCTGGTTTGCCATGTATTTAAAAAACAAAATAACAGAAACAAAACTCAACAAAGTGCAAACAACCCAATTAGAACTGAGCTGGTGATATAATTCAGCTGACAGAATGTCTTTCTAGCTTGTACAATGCCCTGGGTTCAATGATTAGCACCACATAAACAGACAGAACACACCTGCAATCCCAATATTCTGGGGTGGAACCAAGAAGAACAGAAAGTGGGGTCATTATTGGTTACACAGTTCAAGGCCTGCCTGGGATAAGTGAAATCTTTCTCAAAAAACCATAACGGAGAGCAACTGTAGCTTATCATCCTTTAATGTGGAATAGCCAACAGAGAAGACTGCTCAGACAGGGGCTTAAGCCAATGTCTTTATTATTTTATTATAGTCTATATATTCTATTAAATAGAAGGTCTTTATTACCCAACCAAGGAGTACACAGGGTTTTCAGGAACCCGGTGTAGCCCCAAATCTTTCCCAGAGTAAGCTTTTAAGCACAAAAACCATGTCCTGAGTTGACACACTTCAGTTAGTAAGAACAGTTAGCCAGAAGCAGAACTACAGAAGCCAAAAGGCAAGGGTAGTAGGTTTGGAGACTTTCCCAGAACTATGGATGTCAATGGATTAGGCCTTTATTTTAGTTCTGGCAGGTAGTGCTGTCTACATGCTGTGTTTTACAGCCTGGACGGTACTTCCATCACGGAGTCAAGTTGGGCTAAGGACAGAGCTTTCAGCTAGGAGATATTCTGACAGTTTAAGATACCAAAAGTTTGCTGTGTATCTGTTAAGTCTAACGATATCTCGTTATCAAAAACTGTGACGGTGGCTTTCAGTTTATGCAAAAGGCCTGTTCACCAGTCAATTCTCCATTAAACACCTTTCGAGCATCTGGGACCTATACTTTTATACCTTTAACTTTTATAACTTTTTTCTAACATCTGGGGCCAACGAAGTGACAAACAAAACCTCTTTACCAGTAGCCTTTAATCCTTCTTAAAAGGACATACTGAATGAAGACTGTCTAAAGTCTCCATGGTCAGTGTTGCACAGAAGGGAAAATGTGTTCTATCTAGGCCATGTTGTCTGACAGTAATCCCCCTGCCTGGCCCAGGGGCAGTTTTTTGTTGTTGTTGTTGTTGTTGTTTACTTTTTTCAGAGAATGATGGGTTTTGAGTTTTCCAATTATGTGGCTCATTGGTTAGAAAGAAGGCATAAATCATAAAAGAGAAAGGAGTAGAACTTTCTTTTTTCCTTTGGGTTCAGCCCAAGCCTAGGAGAACTTTTCCCCTTCCCGGAGGCAGCTTAATGCAGGCACAGAGTAGAGCAGAGGGAAGGCTCACCTGGGGAAACTCTTTTCCCCTTCCTGTGTGCATTCCGCCTTGATGGCAGCAGACCCTGGATGAGAATCCCAGATCCTCCCCAGCTGCACACAGGTACCAGTAGCCAAGTAACAAAAAAGCAAGAACACCATGCTCTTGGAATGGGGTAGGCAGCCTCTAGGCAACCTCTAGACAAAAAGATTCAGGTCCCCAACAGGAAAGGGCATAGGTCTTAAGCCAGGGAATTCACTAGAGAAAGCCATTGTCCAATACAGGGAAACAGAACTGACAGAAACACATAGAAATACAGAGAGAGAGAGAGAGAGAGAGAGAGAGAGAGAGAGAGAGAGAGAGAGGAGA